ATGTAAGTGAGTGGCGCCAAGCCATATAAAGAGAAACAAATCCATGTTAGTATCATGTATTTGCCTTGTTTAGAATATTTGAAATTTCAAGATGTTATTTTTCAATAAAACCTTGCTTAATATGAAAAAATAAAGTACAAATTGCTATGCCTTCAATCGTTTTCAGGTCGAATCACAGATTTATGAACACTTTGCATAGATATCTCCGTATCTTACTTCATGTCAACATCCTAATGTGTAACATAACTAAAATCCTTTAAAAAAAACTACCTTTAGAATTACTATTGATGATATTATTGTAATAATAATAATAGTATAATATCTAATTTCACATAAGTTAAATTATATATTGACAAATTCAACAAACCTTGAGACCAATAATAACACGTAATTTGAATTGTCAAATGATATTTCAATAATTCTGTTAAACGATTAGGCACCGACCTAGGCAATTAAAATTTATAGGTCACCAATAACTCATTAAAAAGAATAAAATAAGTTTTTACGTTAATTTTTTTCATAAAATTTGGATTTATTAAAATTTAAATTATTATTGATGTTATATATATATATATATATATATATATATATATATATATATATATATAATATAACAATTAACTTGTGAAAATCTTTCCCTATTAATTTAATTTTGATATTTAATTTTAAAAATAATAATATTAAATATACCTAAATAATATTTCAGAAAATAAAATTAAAACACTTTTATCCATATAATAATTATTGTGGGATTGAGAATAAAAATTATATTAAAAACTTATTATATTATCTTTTCTTAGTTCATTAATATATTTTTGAAGAAAAAATTTATATTTTATTTTATTTTATATCGATTCAAGTAAAAAAAATTATATAAGAAATCTTTTTTTCTATCTCAATTTTAATGAGACTAGTTTTAAAAATAATATTATTTAATAGATAAGATAACGTTGTTTTAGTCTAATTTTAAATAAATCAAATATATTTTATTAATAAATATTTTTATTTAATTGTTAAATTATTTATTAAATTAATTATAGCTTAAAATAAGTTAAATAACTTTCAATTGATAAATTGATTTGTTAGAATAAAATAAACATATACTTATAATAATAGAGATTTCCTTTTTTTATTTAACCATTTTTAATGTTACCGATTTAATAAAATACTTATCATATAGGTTTTATCTTCCCTATTCCTTTCATTATACCTCCTTATTTTCTTAATTTTTACCTCCTCTCTTCAAATTCTTTCTTTTAAAATTAATATATACATTAAATTTTAATGGTAATAGTTAATTATTTATTACTGAAATATTTCAAAATTCGATATTTGTGGATAAGAGCTTCTATTTTTTCAAATTTCATAGAATATCTGGAATCATCTTCGTAGTATCGTTAGCAAACACCAGTACCGTACTAATATTTATGTGGAAATTTCTGATAAAAATTATTAAACAAATCATATTATTTATTAATCAATTAGACTAAAATAATATTATTGTACACAATTCTATCCATTATCTAAATATATTATTTATTATTAGACTAAAAATAATATTACTTTTAAAATGAGAAATTTGAATTAATTAAAATAAAAAGTTATTCAAAAAGATTAAAATTAATCTTAATAATAATTTATAGTTTTAAGCATTTTTTAAGGATAAAAATAGAAATCGTGCTTCAACAACCGATTTCTCAATTGAACATTAAAAATATTAAAATCAACGTTGAAAAATTGGTTGAAGGAAAACTGATTTCTCAACATGTACAGTAAAATGTGTTAATTTAATAAATAATTCTGCACATATATTACTTTGGAAAATAATAAAATAATTTACATTATTTTAAAAACTAGTAGTTTTGATTTTGAATTTTGAATTTAGAATAGATAAATACTTAAAGAAACGTGGAGAAGAAGTGATTTTTATTAAGTACAAAATTAAAACCCAATTTCAACTCTTAACAAACGTAATGAATGGGAAAGATATTTTGATTAAATTTCATTACCTCTCCACTTGGGATTAATTAAGTAGTTTTTAAAAAATGGACGTGATTAGATAGTTAAACATAGGTGAGCAACTAAAAATTTGTATAAAAACTCAATATTTGATTTTAATTAGAACCAACGGCCTAACTGTTTAAATAAATAATATCATAAAATCCTTGTAAATCACGACGTAAATGATGTATTATATAATATCATATAAATTTAATATTACAAAATAAAAAAGTTAAGTATTAAAAAATCAGTTTTATAATTAGTAGTGAAAATTTAGGCATGTTACATTTTATTTTATTTTTCAACTCTTTAGATTTTTTTTAATGGTATATATATATATATATATACTTAAAAATAGTTACAAATGGAATTGATTATAGATGTACATAAATATATATATATATATATATATATATATATATATATATATATATTACAAAACATTATCAAAATTTATCCCTTAAGTTTTTTTTATCTCTATAATGGTTACTAAAATAAAAAAAATGGTTTAATTATATTTTTAATCCTTCAAATTTAAGATAAATAAATTTTGAATCTCTTAAATTAAGAAATATATTTTAATCTTTGAATTTTAGTAAAATATAATTTTAGTTCTCAAACACTAAATTTAATGAATTAAAATCAGTTTTACATAAATTATTTTAATTTCAAAATGTATTATTTAGAGACTAAAATTGTTTTTTTTTCTGAGAGATTAAAAAAAATCAATTTAATCACTGTAAATTAAAAGACCGAAAACATAAAACTTAAAAATGATATAATTAACTTCTTTCAAGCATTATAAATCATATTAATTACTATAAAAAAATATGAAATTAATCTTTGAATGCTAATAAAATAAACTATCGTAATAACCATAGTTAAATGGATAAACATTCACGGAAAGAATTATTGAAATAGTTTTATTTTATATTTTAAATTGTAAAATTTATTATTATTATTATTATTATTATTATTATTATTATTATTATTATTATTATTATATACACATTCCTAATAATCTTTTATTCGTTAAATCAAATTTGTATTATTTTTACTATTTTGAGAAATTAAATGTGTTAAATTTTTTATGGCGGTTGGGGAGTAATTACTAACCACCACCTAGTAACAACAATATTATAATAATATATAATATTTATTTAAATATTTAATTTATACAATATTTATTTTATTTTATTTTTTATCTTATAGTTTGTTTAAGAAAAATAGTTTTGTAATTTAAAAAAAAATCTTTATAAAAAGTTATCAGCATTTTAAGTTAAAATATTATATTAAATTAATATTTAATTATAATAACTAAATTATTTTAAAGTTGTTAAGTAAAATATAATTAAAAAATTTATAAAAATATGAATACTTATAAAAATTACCTCTAGAAACAAATCTTATAAAAATTTAACATAAGATACTTTTAAATTATGTGACATAATATATCTATTGAAAGTAAAAATGTGTTTCCTAGCACTCAACATCCTCTAAATAATTCATTCCATTCCTAAGATCTCAAACAAATAAAATAAGAATTTGACGAAATAAATATATCTAGTGATTATTATTTCTTTAAACTAAAAATGGTTTGCGTAAACAAAATAAAAAAATAAAATTCAAAGAGATGTTTCTTTTTCGGGTTCCAAAAGAAACGGTGATGTGTCTGCAAAGATTTAGTTTGCGTAAACAAAATAAATAAATAAAATTCAGAAGGCCTCTACGCAATACTTTCTTATATATTAAAAGATTTGAAATGATTTGTTTTTTTTTTTACAATTTTTTTAAATCAATTTTATTTGAAACGAAGTTAAATATTTATGGTATGTGCGACTAAATTTCACCCTAATTTTTTTTTAAGGTATGAAACATTTTTGTGTATATATTATTTTTTTAAAATGATATGAGACTATCTTTTATAAATTATTTTTTAACCTGTTAAAAAGATATTGAATATAGATGTGATGCCCCATGTCTTATTATAAGAAACAATTGGATATTATATTATCGAAAGTTCTGCGTGGTCGACCTTTTGCTTGGACGTGTAGAAGATAACTTAGAGAAGGAAGAATATTATAACATAAAATATTGTCATGTTTTCTGTTGAATAAAAATGTATGTGTAAGTGGATTCAGCAATCTCTTCTTTAAAGTTCCTTAGAAGAAAAGTATAAGTTTCTCACCTTGATTATTTTCATTAATGACATAAACAAAATAAAAATAAGATAACAAATGTAAACACATGTTTATTTCTCACCTCTTTTATGAACAAAATTATTTCTCAAATCAAAATAATATAATTTTTCACACTAAATACAAACAAGGATGACAATAACAAGAGAAGCTTCCTCCTCAGTTTTTCTTAATTCATAAATTCAATCAATTGCAACCATGTGAGGTCCCAAAAAGTTCGGGTTCACAGTAAATGATTGAATCATATATAATGAAATAATATTCATTATTAAGATATTATGAATAATTCAGTTAAAAAAAAGAAGATAATCTGTTATAATTTCAACTAACCAGTATTAATTAACAGGTACATTTTTTTTTTTGACAACATAAAATTAATTAAGAAGAAGAAATTCTGCCCGAAATTTATTTAGTGTTGGATATAATGATTTCAAGATTTTGTAAGAATGAAAATTCTGCTGGAGAACTACGATTCATTTTTGACGAAAATAGTTAGTTAAAAAAAAAAAAGTTTGACGAAATGAAAGGCTAGAATTCTGAGTTTCGTAAGTAGTCCGGGTCCAGCGATTAGAGTACACGTTAAGTAATAAATATGATTAAAGTTTGTTTGGTTTGGAGTTGGAGTGCAAGCATAAAACCCTGTTTGTGACACATACTCAAAGGAAAATGCATCATGGAAAAAGTAAAATTTTATAATTCCAACCCTTTGATTGGTATCTTGATGGAATAGAATCTTGTTCAATTTGGAATCAGCATAAAAAGCCTTTGGTTCTCACTTCCAAGCCAATCAACCAACCCAACATGGAGGATTCCCTCCACTCTTCAACTCCAACTTCCCAGCAACATCTTTTAGATCATAGAGAAGGAACAGAGAGAGAGCAACATGGGCACGACACCAAGTCACATAAGAAGCTAGCTCTTCTTCCTTTGGTTTTTCTCATATATTTTGAGGTTGCTGGTGGCCCCTATGGTGAAGAGCCTGCAGTGGGGGCTGCAGGTCCCCTCTTTGCCATCCTTGGCTTTGTGGTTTTCCCCTTCATATGGAGCATCCCTGAGGCCCTCCTCACGGCAGAATTGGCCACAACCTTCCCTGGCAATGGTGGCTTTGTCATATGGGCTAATGAAGCCTTTGGCCCCTTTTGGGGTTCCCTCATGGGATTCTGGAAGTTTTTCTGTGGGGTCATCAACTTAGCCTCATACCCAGTTCTCTGCATAGATTATCTCAAACTAGTGATACCAGCTTTGTCGTCTGGTTTTCCCCGCTTTGTGTCCTTGTTCCTCTCCACTTGTGTCTTGTCTTTTCTCAACTATTCTGGTTTGGCTATAGTAGGTTATACTGCAGTTGCTCTAGGGGTTGTTTCCCTTTTGCCTTTTGTGTTACTGTCTCTGTTTTCCTTGCCTAAGATTGACCCTAGCAGGTGGCTAAGTTGGGGTCAGGAGGGTGTGGAGAGGGACTGGAGACTCTATTTCAACACCATATTTTGGAACTTGAACTTTTGGGACAGTGCTAGTACTCTAGCTGGTGAGGTCGAGGAACCCCATAGAACATTCCCAAAGGCCCTGTTATCTGCAGGGTTGCTTACTTGTTTGAGTTACATAATTCCTTTGTTGGCTACAACTGGCGCTATGCCACTTGACCAAAGAAGTTGGGTTGGTGGGTATTTTGCAGATGTGGCTGGGATCATTGCTGGGACGTGGTTGAAAATTTGGATGGAAATGGGAGCTGTTTTATCAATAATTGGGTTGTTTGAAGCCCAACTCAGCAGTGCTGCATACCAGCTTCTGGGTATGGCTGCTTTGGGATTCTTACCAAAAATCTTTGGAGAAAGGTCAAGGAAGTTCAACACTCCTTGGATGGCCATTTTTATCTCAACGGTTATAGCACTCTCCATGTGTTTCTTCTCCTTCACAGAGATCATATCCACCGTGAATTTCTTGTACAGTTTGGGGATGCTTTTGGAATTTGCCGCTTTCCTAAAACTCAGAAGAAAATTCCCATCTCTGAAAAGACCATTTCAGGTTCCATTGGGGTTCTTTGGTTTGGTCCTGATGTGTTTGGTGCCATCTATCCTCTTGATTTATGTCATGGCTGTGGCTTCCAACATTGTTTACATTGCCAGTGCCTTCTTGACCTCTCTTGGTATTGCTATATATTATTTCATGAATCTCTGCAAGTCTAGGAAGTGGGTTGAATTCATCCGCGTGGGAGAAAAATTGGATGAAGATGATTATGTCTTGTAGAAATTGGGTGTGGCAGTGCCATTTTTATGAAATCTTTGTCAAGTGTATTGGTTTGTGTAGGGTAGGAGAATCTTGGTTTATTTTTTGTGTATATTTCTTCTGCTAGAGAAATTGGATTCTCTTCAGTGATTATGTGATAAAAGTATAAGTTGTCATGCAAATGTAGTGATGACGATGTAGAGATTCCTGAAACAATTGGCAATGTGTTACAGATATTTAGTTAAATAGTTATTTTATTTCAAATGGTCATTTCTGGATCCAATCTTATACGCTACTAAATTAGAAAGTTACGAAGATTAGATTTAAGAATTGGTCTCTCTTCCACTTTCTAGGGTACCCCAATCACTCTGTATGATCTCACTCTTCCTGCGGTCACGTCAAAGGGAAGATAAGCACAATGAATGATAAAGTGGGGAGAAAACTGTTGTCACTTTCCCTCATTCTTTATATTTTATTCTAATTCTCATAAAAATGGTAAAATTAATTAATTAAAATAATTATTAAGTGCGGGAAATAAAATAATAGAGTCCCTTTCGCATTTCTTTGTTGTACTTGGTACGTAAGCAATGCTTAGCTGGAAGTAGGGTCCTGGTAGCGGTGGTGGTGGTGGGTAGGGTTAAAGCGGAAGAATATTTAAAAATAGTGTGAATAACGGCGAACAACAATAATTGTGCTTCATTAACGCCGAATCCATTTATGATAAACTTTAAAGCTTGTGTATTCAATATTTTTCATAATACAATTCAATTATTTTAAAATTTGACTGAGAAGTTTTGTTAGAGTATGTGTTTTGATCAACGTCGTAAAAATTCAAATGATTTTGTTAAATTACGTGGAGAGTCAAATATTTGTACGTCACCAATTATTGCTTGGATTTATTATACGTTGGGTTCAGCTCAGACACGCCAGAAACGTTATCTTAAAGATCTATGTGTGGGCATGCAATGGTCTTCGTTTCAACATGGTTTAAAAAATAATATTATCATTTTTGTGATGATTTCAAAATAATTTAAACATATTGATAGAATAAATCGTGATTTTGATCTCAAAATGTAATAGGTATTAATTTATTCTCTAAAAGAACGTTATTTTTTATTTTATCTTTGTTTATTTATTTATGAACTGCATAAAATTCTGAGTTCTTTAAAATACTAATTTTTCTCAAATTTACTTAAAATACCAAATTAATTATTTCACAAATTGAAGGAGCAGAAAGTCCTACGGTCCTAATATTAGGTTAGGTTATCTCTATCATTGGTTTTCAGTATGGGCCGAATTTTCAGCCCGTATAATGGATGATGGGCTTCGGTCGTCCGCTTTGTACAAACTAATATGTAACTCGACTAAAAATTAAAGCCCAATGGATACTGTTTATGAAAAGAAATTTATAAAAGCTCAATACTTTTTAATGTTAATTCTTGTTAAGTTGATTAAATTATAAGTTAATAAATTTATTATGTATCAATTTATAATTGGTAAAAATATATCGGATAAAATATTTATAAGTTGAATAATGTGATTAATGGTTACAGAATTAAATAAATTTATTGAACTAAGTTTATTAAAGGAAAAAGTTATTATTTTGTTGTTGTTTTTCTAAAAATAATACACTATTGAGAATTATCTTGAAAAATATTTTACTAAAAATATTTTTTTTATTGCTGGGACTCATATTCTCCAAAAATAGATCCAACTATAATAATTTCGAATAAATTAAATATATACATTAAGATACGAAGGGTTCTCATCTACATTACAGATTACATTATATTTTAATTCACGTTCATCTCTAAAAATTCAAGTAATTTAGCACATGCATATTTCTCCATCAGCGTTACGCTTTAAATTTGATAGTTGTCAATATTACATCATAGATCATTTCAACATTTAGTCAAATCACTATAAATGAATAAAATGTTATAATTATTCCCACTCCTCGTGTAATTCATTTATTCAATTATTCAAATGTTTCACAAACAAACTTCCCAAACTAGAAATTGACATAATGTTCTTACAAAATTCTTAATTTTTTTACCAAGTGACATAATCACTTCATTCATAATGTAGTAATTTGAACTAGTATAATAATCTTACTTTTTGGTATATACTAAATATATATATATATATATATATATATATAAATAAAAGAAAATAAGATAAAGTTATCATATCACCTAAAAATCAAGATGAATATAGTTTATATATATATATATATATATATATATATATATATATATTTATTTTTTTTTTTATGGATGTCAAAATAGGTTTAGGTAACGAGAAATAGGTAAAAACTAGTAAAAAAAATTATGATTTAAATTAAATCATACATATTTTTGTACGAACTATTTAGATTATGATCTATATGGATTTAGTTTAGACTAATTGGTAGATTTACAAATTGATTCGTTTTATAGAATAATAATTATTTTTTAAATAAAATAATATTATTTTATTAAAAAATATATATGTATTATTAATTTATTTGACAAGAGATTTACTTATTCTAAGAGTAAGTATTAGAATAAATCTCTAATAACCAACTATTTTAATATCTAATTATTAATATTAATTATTATTTAAATTAATAAATTATTATAAAAAAATAAGTTTTTAAATTTTATTTTAAAATTGAATAGATGCATTTTCTTATAATTTATATATTAAATTATTATATTTTAAACAAAAACTAATTTTATTAATAAAATTTAAATTTTTAAAATATTTTATTCTTATTTAAATATATTTTAAATTAATTAATTTTGTATAAATATGTTAATATTAAAAAAAAATTGGGTTAAAAGTAGTTTATTAGCCTAAGATATGATCAAGTTAAGTTAAAAATTTTTGCTCGTTTTAAACTATAGGTCAAGTTGGGCTAAAGTGAACAATATCTTAAAATAATAATTAACCTTAATAATATTATTACAAGTAAACATGAGCTGAATACACTCTCGTTCTTAAACAGAATATTAGTATAGTTAAAAATTTTAATATGAGTTGAAATCTTAATAAAAATAAAAAAATTATAAATAAAAAAAACTCATAATTTAATATCTTAATATTTTTTATTGAATGTAATGTCATGTAATATATGGTTGAGTATCAATTATTATTTTTTAAATATAATATTTAAAATTATTATACATTATCTAATATATAATTATAATAATTTTGCAAGGAGTTGATAAATTTGGGTGACCATCTAATTAACAAAAGATAATGTGGAGAAAAGAGGAGCAAAAACATGTGCCAAAAACAATTATCAAGGCAATAATTGTGAAGACAGCGCAGGAATGAGTGTTTATGAACACTGCAATGCCTTTCACAATTCAGAGTGATACTTCCCATAGTTTTCTTCAACAATTAAAAATTCCAATAAATGTTTCAAACTAATGTAATTCGTTATTTTTTTGTGCCTTTTTCTTAAAGTTTGTATTTAAAAATTGAAATGTTTATTAATTTTTATCTAACAAAATAATTATAAATTTTTATTTTATTTTTATTTCTATATCGCATTGAATTAATTAAAATGAATAAAATATAAAAAAGTAATTAATAAACAATACTTAATATTATGTTTTATTTTTTTGACAAGCCAACTCAATACGTAATTGACTGACCAATCCAATCTTAATCACGAAGAATATTATGGTCGATTATAAGAAGGAAAAGTTAAAGAAAATATAAGATTATTTATTAAAATTATCAATTAAAAAAAATTAAAATTATATAATTATAAATCTACTTTTATATTTATTAATTAAAAAAGAAAAATAATTATAATTTTGAAAATAAAAACATATGAGAATAGAAAATAAAATATAAGAAACTTAATAAAAAGTGACGTATTTTATTTATTTATTATATAATAAAATAACTATATATTATTATTATTATTATTATTTTATATTAAGATTATTTACCCTTGAATTGATAATTTTAGTTAATTTAGTGGACAACTAAATAAATTTAGTTCATTTTATTTTATAATAAAATATAAGAAAGTAACGTATTTTTTTATTATTTATATATAATAAAATAATTATATTTATTATTATTATTATTATTATTATTATTGTTATTGTTATTTTGTATTAAGATTATTTATCCTTGAATTGATAATTATAGTTCATTTATTAGACACCTGAATAAACTTATTGATAGTTCGTTGATCATTTTTAAAATTAAAAATTAAAATGTTTTTTTATTATATTATTAAAATATGTAAATGATAAATAAAATTAATTAAATAAAATTATTAATTATAACTCAGTATTATGATAAATAAATATAATAATTTTATCAATTTATTTAATAAAAAATAATAATTATTAAATAAAATTTTAAAATATATTAATATAATCAATGGTTAATTTAAAAAAAATATAAAAAATATTTTATGATGAGAATGGGATGGTCACCTCTATTATCTACCAATTTTCATTGTGTTAAGACATAATCCTACTTAATATAACTCAATTAATGTATAATATGCTCCATATTTAGAAAATAAACACATAAAACCTAACTTTAGACAAGATTAAAGAATTTAGACACTATTACAGGGAAATATTCTCATGAGGTTCCAAAAAAATTTGATAAACACTTATTTATTATTACATTATCATAAATTTAAAAATATGAAATAAATAAAAACAAAAATCTTCTAGAATTTGAATAAGTTAAAAGATATCAAAGGATATTATAACCACTGAATATTCCAATCCAATCACGTTCTCAGTTGCCAAATCACAAATACTTCCTTCGCCACTTTTTTTAATCAATCACTCATTTCTCTGAATAAATTTTCAAAAATTCATTCTCATCCTAATCTCCCTCGTTCTCCTTCTTTTACTTTTGACAAATGAATTTATTTATTTATGAATTGATAATTAGACATTTTTTTAAGGTGCGTAAGTTTAATATTATAGTTTTCTGAACGTCTAAATGATGTCATGAAAATGCGTTTATCAAGAGTTTTTATTAAGAATAAAAATTGAATGACGGTGGTTTTACATGAAAACACAATCATTGTGTGTATACAATTTTTTTGCAGTTTTGTTCCTGTGCCATTCACTTTTGCACTTATCTGGTTGGAAAATAGAAGCATTGTTCCATTGAGGTTTATGCACAAATGAATGGATAAGGTAACTGAGATTATCTTGTTCTGCACGTCACATCCTTCCACGTTAGATTTCTTTGTATTTAGCCACTGCACATTTTTTATTATTTGTAGAATATTACTGTGAATTAAGATTGGAAATGATAAACCCAAATTAACAACAAATAAATTATATTTTTAATAGCTAAATAATAAAACTTTATGTCAAAAAATTGTTATGAACGGTTGGTATATTGATTTTCTTAGAAGAGACTTGATGTTTTTCTTCAATTGAGAAAAGAGAATCTACTTTTTAATTTGGCATTAATAGAGACCATTATTTTGCCATTAGTTTTATCAAGTAGTGTTTATCATATTCTAACAAGCCAAACTTGTTTCCAATAATTAAGTTAAATAATATGTAATATGCTTTAAGTAATTAATGTCTAATAGAAATGTTAAAAATTATAGTAATTTGTATTGTTTAAATTTTAATAGAAAATAATAATAAGTTTTGACAAAATATTTTTAAGATGGATTGGTGTATTGACCAAACAAATCATAAGTCCAAAACATTTTGGCCCAAAACTGGCTAAGTTTTCAAAATGAAAACATAACTAATAACTTCGCTCGCTAGAAGGAGGGCTTGAACCTCCGACCTTGTGGTTAACAGCCACACGCTCTAACCAACTGAGCTATTCCAGCTGCCTGTCAAATCACTAATATTTTTTGTTAAATATTATAAGTTTGTAATATGTAATATATTTAAAATATATATTCAAAAAGTTTTTTTTGTTATTATTTTTTCATAATAAAGTCAAATATAAAATCCAATGTTAATGATTTAGGAGAAAAATTGTTTAAATTTTAATTTAAATGGAGAAGACGTTATTTTTATTATTAGTTAAAATACGTTTAATTATGCTTTGGTTATTGAAATTTGAAATAAATCTTATTTCATTAAATAAAAATAATAAAAACTCCAAATTGCTGTACAAAATTAAGTTCTCATATATACCATTGTTTAATGACTACAAAAAGTTTTTTACCCCTCTTAATATTTTTTGACTTTATGATTTATGAGTTATTTTACGATTAACATTTGAGATTTAGGGTTTGTGTATCTTCTCAATAGTATGGTAAGAGAATGATTTTGGAGAGTGAGTAGTTTTTAAAGGATTGTGGAGTTGGAGACCAAGGGGTTATTACTCTTCCACTCACCTATTCATCAGGGGAATCTTAATCATATTCTAAAAATGTAACCTAAATAATTTTAAGAAATATTTTACTCCAGTAATATTATATATGTTATATATTTAATTATGTTTGTTATTTACGTAGGTGTTTATTTTTTATAGAAAAAATCTCATTGGACAAAAATAAAAAATGATTTTGTATATTTAGATACGATTAGATTAGAAAGAGAAGCAAGATAGAGAGACATGAGATTATTTTGTGAGAAGAAGAAGGACTAGTTGTTGTATTTGTAGAGGCTAGTCTCCTCCCTGTCAGGTGAATTTGGGTTTCCTTAGCCCATGCACACGTATACATCCTTATCCACTTCTACCCTTTTCACTCTCTCTCTCTCTCTCACGCACACTAATCAACATCAACAGTGCAAAGTTTTATCGTAGAAACTAAAAATTAACAACTTTTGATTCAGAAATTAAAAATGAAAACACAACTAAAAAGAGTGCTAAAATTAAACCCTAAACAGAAGAGTGGGATAGGAAAATCAATCTGTATCAACAGATTATAGATTTAATGAGATGATACACATGTCACATGCTCCCCAACTGCACCACTGAGATCAGTCCAACCTAGTAACAATTTACGCCTTTTTACTCACTCTCATACTCATTTATCCTTGTAACAAATTACCACTTATTCATATACTTCATTTTCTTAATGCTTTATAATTCATGCAATAAAAAAACAAAGAGTGAATTAATGATCAAATGTAGAAAATATCTAAATGTGGAGATGGCATGATTCCTGTGCGCCAACCAGTTGGAGGGAAGTACTGTAATGGATTATGATGACTTATCTAACGGCTTCTATCTCTATAAATGCTTCAACCGCCACACACACTCTCTCATAGTGCTTTCAGGTGATGGATTTCTCCAACTTTATCCACTTCAACGAGTTGATACCTGGGTTACCCACTGACCTCGGACTCGAGTGCCTAACTCGTTTGCCCCATTCCGCGCACCGGGTCGCGCTCCGAGTCTGCAGCCACTGGCACCACCTCCTACAGAGCGACCAATTTTACGTCCACCGCAAGAAGATTGGCCGCACCCGAAGAGTCACGTGCCTCGTTCAGGCGCGTGACGAGCAACCGCGCCGAGACAAACTAACTGGGTCACTGCCACCGTGTTACGGGATTAGTTTGTTCGACCCGGAGAGCATGGCGTGGGACCGGGTCGACCCTGTTCCGGATTACCCATTCGGGTTGCCGCTGTTCTGCCAGCTGGCCAGCTGCGACGGGAGCCTCGTGCTCATGGGAGGATGGGATCCCGCGAGTTACGAGCCGTTGACGGCGGTGTTTATTTACGACTTTCGAACGAGCGAATGGCGGCGGGGGAAAGACATGCCGGAGAAGCGCTCGTTTTTCGCGATCGGATCGGGGTTGGGTCGGGTTTATGTGGCGGGCGGACATGATGAGAATAAGAACGCGCTGAAGTCGGCGTGGGCTTATGACCCGAGGAGTGATGAGTGGACCTGGATGGGCCCGATGGGCCGGGAGAGGGACGAGTGCGAGGGGGTTGTGGTGGGGGATGAGTTTTGGGTTGTGAGTGGATATGGTACGGAGAGGCAAGGGCTGTTTGACGGATCAGCGGAGGTGCTGGATATCGGGTCGGGTCAGTGGAGGGAGGTTAGTGGGGTTTGGGAAGAGGGTCGGTGTCCTAGGTCTTGTGTTGGGGTTGTGAAAGATGGGAAATTGGTGAACTTTAGAGGGTTGGATCCGGGTCTTAGGGTTGGGGTTTGTGGGATTTCGGTCGGGTCGAGGGTTGTGTTGAGTGGATCCGAATACGAAGGGGCACCTCATGGGTTCTATTTGGTGGACATGGAGGAAGGGCAGAATCGTAAATTGAGAAGTATAAGTGTAACTGAGGGTTTTTCTGGGCTTGTTCAATCAGGGTGCTGTGTTGAAATATAGTGAGTAATGTGCAAAATAATTATACTCACTTTTGAAATGCTACTATCAAGTTTTTATTTTATTTTTTTCATTACATGTATATTGTTTTATGGATAATTTTTAATAAGACTTTTCATTCGGATTGAAGTTGTTTCTTCCCCACATAATAAGGGAAAGGGATAATCCATAATTACACGGCATTTTGTGTAGCCTTGTCAATGGTCCACTTGATAATGACTCCTTAATGAAATCAAATGGAATGAGAGGTAAAATTGATTTCCTGCTATAAAAAATGTCTTGGACATAGTAATTAAGTTCTCTGAAGGATGTACTTTGAGTTCAAACTGTGTTTCAAATATTTCTTAACCAATAGACTGTGTAATTGAACCTCGGTTTAATACCATACCTACATTGGATAATTACATTTTTTTTACATAAAAATAAAAAATAATTAGCATAATTCTTTATGTTAAAATAAAGTTATTTATGATACTTAGGAAACTGCTAAAATAAAATTATTATATATATATATATATATATATATATATATATATATATATGTCAAGATATCATAATCCAAAGTTATTATATTAGAATCTCAATAAAAAATTCATTAGATTTAAATTAATGATAAAATTTTACTCACTCAAATCTAATCAAGATTTTTATAATTTTTTGCTAAAACAAATATCAAATTAAAAATTATAAAGCTTTTAATACTCATCTATTAAATTGGAAGAGAGGTATATGTACAAAGAGGATTAATAGGGAGAAACGTCGGAATCTAATTTATATGAATTTTATTTTAGATTATAAGATTTGAAAATTTGGAATGAAAATTTATCTAGAAAGAATATGAGAATAAATGGTAATAGAATGTTGTGATAAGTTACGATGATTTTGTGGATTTTTTTAAGTGATTAATAAGTTAAATAGTGCCTCGAAAAATATAACCTTGCTTGAGATTGAGTTGAATTGTTTGGATTATGAATTTGAATGGTAAATTGTGAATTGTGACCATGTTTAAAAAGATTTATGTTGTTGAATGAGAAATTAGATTTAAAATTTGTGAAAATGAATTGTTGTAGTTTAAGTTGTTTTAATATACAACTAATTGGTGTAAATGTATTGAAATTAAGAAGAGATTATAATTTTTAATTAATACCAAGTTGAAAGTGGAATAAAAATCCTTTTATATGCCATTTGAGTACAATTTTTCAACTTTTGCATGCTTTTCTTTTAGGTAATCCATCCAGAAATTAGATGCAGTATTAAAATCTTAATTCAGTAAAAAAATGGGCTTAAATTTGTGAATTATTAATGTTTATATAAGAAAATGCATTTTAAATTATATTTATTAAATTGATTAATTAACCTTTTTTGTTAATATTATTTCTTAACTTTTTTTTCGCTTTCTCTCTCTATATTTCATAAGATAAGATGATTTTATGGGTAGATAAAAGAAAAATGTGCGTATCAAAATTATATTTTTAAAATGATTACATCATCATAAGTAATTTTATATTATTTATCTTAAGATTGATTTTCGAATTCACAGTCAAAAGTTGATTTATGTCGAATAAATTTTTAAAATAATTTTATAAAATAGTTTTTCTATTTTGTTTATATCTACATAATAATAATATTATTTTGTGTGAAGAGAGAATAAAATTACAAAATAAATAATATATTAAATATGATAACTATATGAAGCGGACAGACTATAATTATTAAAGAAAATATTAATTTTTAATTTCTATTGTAGAATTGAGATTAGATTTTTTTATTTTAATTTTTTTTATCTAACGTATACTCTGAGTTTCATATTATTTATAAATTAAAATCAAAGATAATTTGTATATATTTTTCTCTTTCCCTTCAAACATGTTTCTTAAATATAAAATAATGACTAATTATAATTCTGCAATAAATTATAAATAAGATAGATGATGAATCTTAATTATATTTTGGTAATTAAATTATTAAATATGTTTTCTTCTAGTTTATTCTTAAATTCATGTTGATTATTAATTTTTTTAATATTTAAAAGATAAAATTAAATGAAACATGATTTGATATAATACATTACATAAAAGTTAATTAACTAAACATAATTTTAGATGTAAATTATATTTTCTTTATTTTTCACCTTGAATTTCTTTTTGTTTTTATCTTATCTTTGGAAATATTTGGTTTTATTACATGATCTCTAAATATTTTTATTACATGTTTTTTATAAAATAAAAAATATATATTATTTTCAAAATTTATTTTTTTGTTATAGACCAAAGAAAATTCTGAATATATTTTAAAAAAAGTACTTAGACCAAAATTAAAATGGTTTATTTTTCTAAGAAAAAGATAAAAATAAAATAGAAAAAGTTGTGTGCAGAGACAAATTTTGTGCATCAATTAAGGGAAGTGCATTTGACACTAACTGAAGGTGGATGAGAGGCGTGTTTGGATTTGGGTTTTGAGTTGGCGACTGGATGAAGGAGTGAGCGCTGTGTAGAAATCCGAGATTTGATTTGATTAGGGAAATTGAAACATAACAGAACCCTCCGAAAACCCCAAAACCCTGTTTGCCTTTGCGTTTTGTTGTGGCCATGGATTTCCAAGTGGTTGTTCTCGGCGGTGGCGTCTCCAAGAAGCTTCTCCCCCTCGTTTCCCAGGTTCCCAACGGAAATGCATCTATCGAAACAATTTTCGACGCTATTATGTTATATGAAAGTGCTTATTTTGTTTGCAGGAGCTTCCGAACGCGTTGCTTCCGGTGGCGAATCGTCCCGTTCTCTCTTACGTTCTCGAGTACTTGGAGCTTAGCAACCTCAAAGATCTCATTGTGGTAATATCATTTATCGCAATCTTTGGTTTATTGAAGATGGTGAATGGTGAATTAGTGATGAAATTTAACTGTAGGTGGTTGAAGGCGAAGAAGCGGCTCTTCATGTGGGGGCTTGGATTTCAGGGGCTTATGCTGATCGCCTCCATGTTGAGGTAATCGCTTTTCTATATTACCGTTCACTTGCCAAACATGATTCATTGCCTCTATGTATCTTGATAGTGATCATAAGCATAAGGATGTGTAGGCCTTACGTCTTGTTTGGATGAACTTTTAAATACTTGTAGAGACGTAATTTGAGATAGTGAAATGAGTTAGACTCTGCTTGGATAAACTTCTCACTAAGCACTTACATTGGAAGAAAACAAAAAGATAAAATGAATTAACTTTTTTCATGCAAGTTAAAATCATCAGCTTTGAACAGGTGAACTGGAGCAATTTTGATAAATTAGTTTATGTATGAGTAAATTTTAATTATTGGGAGATGCTGCCTTAAATTTTTTACGTTCTTATTTTATTCTCTTATTTGTGCTTATTGAGAAGTTTATTTAAATACGGTCGTACACTTATTTTATAAGTTAAAATTAATTTAAATTTAAGCATTTCAACTTTTATTGAAGCTCTCTCATCTAACTTCACCAAAAGTTGATTTTAACGTGTGGGAGAAGTTTGATTCTCTTTGTTTTTTTCTTTTTCTTCTTTTATGAGTGCATATTAAAAATGATCTTATTTATTTTTTCCTTAAAAGTATTGATAATGTATCCACATGACTTGTGTGATGATTTTTTTTTTTTTTTCTTGTTTAACAATTGTCCAGGTTGCTGCAGTTCCTGAGGATGTGGGGACAGCGGGTGCAATTCGAGCTATTTCGCATCACTTAACTGCCCAAGACATTTTGGTGGAATATCCCTCCCTCCTTTGCTCATGCACTCTGTGGTCTAAATAATGTTGTTCTTCTTCATGGTTGCGTTGATCTTTTGCAGGTTGTCAGTGGTGATCTTGTTACAGATGTGCCACTTGGTGCTGTTGCAGCTACTCATAGACGACATGATGCAGTTGTCACTGCTATGCTTTGCTCTGCTCCTGTAAGTGGACCTTCGGAGTCCGCATCCTCTGGGGGAAAAGACAAAACCAAGAAACCTGGCCGTTATGATTTGATAGGGCTGGATCCCACAAAACAGTTTTTAGTTCACATAGCAACTGGTTAGTTATCTAGCTTTTACTTGTATATGGCATGTTTTTGTTGTATGTGTGTTCATGTGAAATCCATCATCTCTTTTCAGGAGCAGAAGTTGAAAAAGATCTTCGAATTCAGAAGAGCATACTCCCTGCAGTCGGCCAGGTACTTCCTTTTTCTTGTCTCTGGACCTTCTTAGTTGGTTCCTGCTGCCTAAAATTTCTCTAATGTTATGAGTTTATCGTCTTGTGGTGTGAGATTTAACTGTCTAATCTATATCAAAACTTTCCACTTTCATCTGCTATTTACTATCATTGCATCTCTTGTTCAGCACATTGACCAACTTTATTATTGGAGTTCTTTTCTGTTTGTGATTTATGTAGAGATTGGAATTGGTTATCGTGCTTTCTTCTGTGAAAATATGAATTGGTCATATGAGTAATTGAAAATTAGAAGCAAGGCTTTTGCTATTTCTTATTTCTCTTTATTGTTATTTGTCATTCATGTAGATAGAAATAAGAGTTGATCTAATGGATGCCCACTTGTATGCATTCAAAAGGTATATTCATTTTCTTTTTAACTTTCTTCTTTATTCTTAGACTTGAATCACTCTTTATTGTATCCTGAAACAAACTTTTCTTGCAGATCAGTTTTACAAGAAGTTCTGGATCAGAAAAGTGCATTTCATAGCTTAAAGCATGACGTATTGCCATATCTAGTCCGGAGCCAACTGGTTAGTTGTTAAAGGTTTTTCAAGAGATAGGTTAGGGATTGTTGTGCATTTAAGGATTCTAACATTGTTCAAATTTTCTAAACGAGAGTTAGAAATCAGAAGTATTATTTAATGGTATGCCACAAGCAGAAGAAAACGGAACTCAAAAGGTTATATCTCAAAGCAATCAACAAATGCTATCTCAAATACTTGCTAATGCATCTGAACCAACCTTTCATCTACGACATGCACTGGGTCCTTATGGTTTTACTTCTGATCGAAGAACCCACAAATGCTGTGTGTATATTGCTGGAAGTAGCAAGTACTGTGCTCGCTTAAATTCTATACAAGCATACAACGACATAAATCGAGATGTGAGTTTGTTGTTGTTATGGCCTTTATCAGGAACTTGCCATTGCCTTCCACTTTTTCCTTGGGTGTAGTTCTGGTTGCTTAAGCATTATTCTTTTTTTTTTACAATGACAGGTAATAGGAGAGTCTAGTCATTTATCCGGGTATTCTTTCTCTACTCAAAACAATATTATTCATCCTTCTGCAGAGCTTGGGACAAAAACAACTGTGAGTTACTTGAGTGGTCTGATTTACAGTTTCTGGATCATTATTTTTTTCTTCTTCACATTTTTAAGTTCATATAAGTAGTTATGATGTGTTTTAGATTGGACCACATTGTATGCTGGGGGAAGGTTCGCAGATGGGTGACAAATGCAGTGTGAAACGGTCTGTCATTGGCCGTCATTGTCGGATAGGTGCCAATGTTAAGGTGGGATAATATATTATTCTTACAAGATAACAGGAACTTACCTTTTGGTCTTTTTGATTTATCTGTTGCACATGATAGCCAACCCACAATGATTGATCAGCAACCTGACTGGCATATTACTAATGAGTTGATAATGTTCCTGCCATGTTTTCTTTTGACGTGCTTTTATGCATGCAGGTTGTTAATTCAGTAGTTATGAATCATGTTACTATTGGAGACTGTTGTTCAATCCAAGGTTCTGTTATCTGTAGCAATGTACAGCTCCAGGAACGTGCAATAGTAAAAGATTGCCAAGTAATTTGCTTCACCTTTTCCTGGCCATTTTTTCATGATTGCAATTTGAATCGGAATGTGACATGGCTTGTCTTGGCAGGTTGGAGCCGGTTTTGTGGTCACTGCTGGTAGTGAGTGCAAGGGGGAGGTATTGGCTAAGAAGTGAAACTGAGATGTGAAAAGCCAGGCTGGGGAAATACATACCAAAATGACTTATGTTCTGCTTCATCACTGCTTGGGGTAAATTTTGTCCTTTTTGCCGGCAGCAGTTACAATTTGGTGTTGGCAAGAGTAGCGAAGAGAGTCTAATACTTCCGATTTGTACGTGTCCTTTGCAGTTTCTTTTCTCTTGCAGATTGTTTGAAAATGGCTGCAATTGGTGTTGAACATTCATTTGTGTACATGACTACTAATTGCTTCCTCTTCATAGCGATTTTCTGGCATTTAAGTGCACGTTGAAAAGTACTTTCGGTTGGTAGTACTAAAGCGGTATTTAGTCAGGGCAATCAGTTTTGTATTCGAGCAAATGTAGTACTATTAACGTATTTCGTTTGGGCTTTTTTGTTTTTTTGTTTATGCTTGAGATTTAGTGAGAATAATGCTTACTTGAATTTGATGCCTGCTTAGTAAGTAATTCGTTTAAGCTTTTTTTTCCTCCCTATATTTGCGAGGAATTCTCCAAGCTTGGTAGCGTCAACCAGCAGATCATGTGATGGGATTGGGATGTGAGAGGTGTGATTTTTATAATTAATTTCATTGGATATATCTGTTCGAAAGTGTTGGATGAATTTATTTATAGGAGTATTTAAATTAATCAAGTGCCGAAGTGAAAATAAAAATTAAGTAGAAAATAATTTAATAACTTGTAATGGTGATTTTTAACTTGTTTATGATGGATAAATTTGTTTTTTAGGAAATAATTAAAGATTACAAAGTAATTAATTTTAACGAATGTTGTTGGCTTATATACTTGAACAGGTTTTTCCAAGCCAAAGGCGTAAATAAAATCCCTTAAAAAGAAAATAAGCGGGGGGAGAAGGGGTTGTCATGAATTTTTTTTTTCCCACTCAAGGAGGCTGGAGGGGCCAAAGCTTTATATAGGCTTCATGAGTTCAGAGTCTCAATTAACATTATACGTTATACAAGTTTAGGACGTGAAAAATTTGTATATAGGACAATTTTATCGTAACTTATTTACGTGATAGTAAGTAGACATTAGTAGCCAATGTTTATTTAGGAAAACACTTCAATTAATTTATGAAAGATACATGGCTTTGATTCTTTGAATGATAAAAAAATATGCTAAAAGTCATTGAATACGTATTTTCTTTCTTTCCTTTTATCAAATTAATCCCTAAATCTATAATCTGTAGAATGATTTTTGACAAATGTTTGATGTGGGAATACAGACGTAGAAAAGATATACTAAAGATTTTACTGCAGCAAGAAGAATATGAATGTTTCAAGGAATTGTCGTAAATATAAATGACTGCGAATTGAAATTAGGGAACGGAGCATGAATAGTGTTGTATATTATTTATTATACGTTGTGATGTATCCGAAATTTGCCCGAATTGAATGATTAATAATAATAATAATTTATTTTTTTATTCCATTGTAACAATGTTTCCTGAACACTTTTAATTCTATTAATATTTATTATAACAATGTAGGCAACTAAAGGATGATGTATTCCTCAAAGTCTACTCTGAATCGATAGCTCACGCTTCATTTGATCTCTCAAAACCCTCCTTAGTAATTTGTTGGAAGCTGTTCGAGGAAAGTCTGGCACAATTTTAACAAGGCTCACCTGTGAAGTAACAAATGAGTTTTAGAACATCAAATCAATAACTTAATCATCACAAAGTCATGTTAAAATTCCAATAGAATTTGATTTCCCTTCAAACATGAAATTTCATGAATATTTAAGTCATTAAGTTGTGGCTTTTCATGATCTATTCAATTCAAAATGGTATTTGCTTGCAATGAACTAAAGGGTCATACCTTAAACAAAGGATTAAGGTTGCTTTGAATTGCTTTAGCGAATTTCCTTTTTAGAGTTTCTGCATTTGAATTGTACCCTTTCTTTAAAACTACAAATATAACCAGTTGTTCTGGGCCTCCATGTGCAGGTGCAACACTGACTGCAGCTGTCTCCAAAATGCATTCATCAGCCCTATCACAGACACGCTCAATTTCTACAGAACTTGTCTGCATATCAGAACAGAAAATCCAGACCAAGGGTGTCAATGTAGGCCTTTTATGAATTTCTGATGAATACTTGATCAGTAACAAGTAGCTTCCATTCTTATTAATTTATTCAGGGACAAGGACAGATACATGATTATTACACCATATGTATCCAGTCAGTGTAGAACTGGGAGGAGTATAATCACAAATATTGTGGGTGATGAGGTACCTTTATTCCACCAAGATTCATTGTGTCATCAGCCCTTCCTTGTACAATGAAATGGCCTCCGGCAGTTCTTTTGATTATATCTCCATGTCGCCGAAGAACCTGCTTATATGATTTCAGACATGACAAATTATGGATTAATATACCAGTTGAAGCAGTAGATGACAATAACAACAGAACGTGAGTAGTCAACATCACAATTCACAGCATAGTCTATTAAGTTAATTTGTAATTTACAATAAGACTACTTGAAAATCCTTATAAAGATATTGATCACTTACGTAGGCATAACATTGTTTGATAAACATCCAAAGTCGAGAGTTGAAGGGTAATCTTATCCTCTCTAGTTAGTTTCTTTCCTTTTTTGGATTTTATGTGTGCAATTTGGTCAGTGTGTGCTTGTGCAGTACAAAAAACATAAAGATGTTTTGAACCAATTGATTCTGGACCATTACAAAGCCATAAGGATGCAAGAAAATCCACGAAATACCTTCAGATCTGAACTACTATTGCAAGATAGCTATAACTGATGTGAAAATCATGTCACATTAGAAAGAGGAATTTAATTTTACAATGTACCTTTCCTTTGTACATTGGCATTCCCTTAAAGTAAACCTCATCATTATCAGCATTAAGCAATCTATCAGTTGCTCCCATATATATTGGAAACAAGCCCACTTCACCAACACAGGCAACATCCTCTGGCTGTCACATTGGTCAAACAAATTAGAAAGCCGAAAAAATAACTAGTCTATGCCAAAACGAAATGGAATCCACTTAGTAAGAGTAAAAAATATTAAAGACTTGAGAGAATTTAAAAGGGTAATAGCACACACAAACACACACATACAGGTTCAGCTTGCAAGTCTCAAGATTTTGAGATCAGCATTTCCAATTAGCCTTATGGGTTCTAAGCCTGGATTATGTAAACAACTAACAAGCACTTGACATCATCCATTATCCATAGCAACAACAAAATTATAGATAAGTATTGGCCCGATGGAAAACAGTCTCTAGTCGGTGGCAAAATAGTTAGTAGAGCAAAAAAACTACTGACAAAATTCTTACATAAGGAACTCCATTTTCGTCAAGGATGACCAAACCAGTTGTCATTGATGCTGTGCTAAATGCTCCAAAAGCTTGAGGCTGCAGTGGACATCCCATGATGTATGAAGATGCAAGCTCAGTGCCTCCACAACATTCAATGATTGGTTTGTAACAAGACCGTGAAGAAAGCCAGAGGTCATCATCAACATTTGAAGTTTCTCCAGTCGAACAAAATGTTCTGCATATAACCTCAGTTTAGTTCAGTTTTTCACATTGGTTACCTGATTATTCAAACTTCAACAACTTACTTTATCTTTGTCCAATCCAAGCCCTCCATGCAGTGTGTATTCTTCCACGTTTTTACTAAGCTTGGAACCGTTCCCAAAATAGTGACACCTGCATCCTGAAAAATTGCAGTTGAATGATGATCTTTGGGCAGTGTATCAAATTCTTTTGATGCAGAATACAACATCATTGCGACAATTAGTGTATGAAGCCTATGTTTTATCACTATATTTCTGTTTGATTCACCCCATACAGAATAAACCTCTTTGTAGCTAGTCAGGTTTGAACAGTGAGAATCTTGCCTTCTAAAAGTTCTTTTTCCCCCTTTTCTTTACATTCTTGCATACAGTAATGGGGGGTTCATGTTCTACAAGAAATACCTTGTCGTCGAGGCTCAGCCAAATAACTGCATAAGGACAATTCATTTTTCTTCTTTTTCTACCATACCAGAATCGCCCAAGTTAACATAGATACTTTTATCAACATAGCTCACCGACACTATATTTTTGCTGTCCTCACAAACTTCATAATAGGAATGCTATTTTATGAGACAATTTCTCAGGATGAGAAAACTTTTTTGACCTTGTTTTGACATCATTGTGGCATACAGTTGCAAATCATTTTCACAAAGGATAAGAGAGTTCATGAGTTATGCCCCTGTAGATGACACTAACTTACAATCATTTCCCTCTACACCCCACTGCGTCATATTACTTCACTGCATCCATGATTTAGAAGAAAAATCAACTAGTCTAGTATAGTTCCCATCCAGTTTTACTACTAGTCATCATTTATTTTATTTTGCATGCTGTCCCAAAGTCTTAGGTGATGAAAACATGTTATGTTACTCACAAATAATGACCATTTTGTAGATTTAGACCATGTTGTTATGTTAATCACAAATAATATAGGGTCTGAAATATTAGAGTTGGAGAAATACCTGAACGAACTTTCCAAAACCATGGCCTAGAGGAGATCCATGGTACAGCGCAAGAGTTGCACCTGATAGAAAGCATGAATATATAAGTGTTGGTCCCATCACCCATCCTAAATTTGTAGGCCAGCAATAGACATCTTCAGGTTGAATATCAACGAAAGCCCATCCATCTGCAGCACTTCTTATCGGAGAAAGTTGAGTCCAAGGAATTGCTTTTGGCTCCCCTGAAAAGTAAAAATGTAACTGGAAAATCATTACAATGGGAATTTCAGCTTGATGTGTTTCACTGTTCAAGGGAGAATCTTTACCTGTTGTTCCAGATGAAAAAAGTATGTTAGTGACAGAATCAATTGATTGATAGAATGGAGAGTAGTGATGTGACCTGCCACAATTTAAGTGTTAAGGTGAGAATTTTTTTCCGTTTCTGGGATCTTTAGCAATGACCATTTTAGATCACATAATAAACACATTTTAATCTATACATTACCTGGGATGCTCTCTAGTAGAAGAAAGAAAATCCTTCCATGAAAAATCACATTCTCTTAATTGCACACCTAGATCATCACCAATCACAGGAAGCACGATAGCTTTGCATGCTGCTGCTTCAATGACTCGACTGCAAGAAGAAATAAGCAGAATGAATGAGCCGGTGTTTGTATGTAAAAGGAACAACCTTAATTTTATCTAGAAACAAAGGTTGGCCATTGAGGCAGTTTGTTTCTAACCAAAATCATGATGAAATTCTAAGCACATCAAAATGCCAAGAAAATAACAAGCAAGAAATTAGACATTCCAAGTAGAAGAATCAGATTGAAGGAGAATTGAAATACCAAGTTATGCTTTATGAAACTAAGAGACAGATGCATACTACGCATCCACCAAGCATAGAAAAGAACAAAGTAATCACCTGACAAGGTTACTAGAACCAACCAAGAAAGACATTGGTTCTATTGATAAATAAGTATCTAAATAAAACACTTTGAATATTATCACTTGATGTGTTTTTTGCAATGAGTGGTACATGGTCAATTTATAAGCCTCTAGATATGGTCTCTTAACTACATGCATTCAATACAACCACTACTTCTCAATTACATGCATTCTACATGCATTCAATTACAACCACTACCTCTAAACTATATGCATTTAATGTTTACCTATTAAAATCCTCCCATAAACTTAAATGTTTTTCTTGTCCTTCATTCCAAGCATCTTGTTGTTCTCGAATAGAGTGATCGGCAGTGGCTTCGTGAACATATCTGCAGCTTGTGCTCGGGTTCCGACGTGCTCTAACTCCACATTTCCTTCTTTCACTTGTTCTCGGATGAAGTGAAACCGAACATCAATATGCTTGTTTATCTCATGATTAACCGGGTTCTTTGCCAATTCAATGACCAACTTGTTATCAACTCGAATCACAGTCCCTTTTTCTTGCTTCAACTCTAGCTTGCTTAGAAGGTTTCTAAGCCAAACTGCATGACAGACACTCCAAGATGCAGCAACGTACTCGGCTTCGCAAGTGGACAACGTTACAATAGACTGTTTTTTTTGCAAGCCAGGTGAACGTTGTGTTTCCCATGAAGAATACATATCCATACGTGTTTTTCCGGTCATCAACATCTCTACACTAGTCACTATCCGAGTATCCTTCTAGTCGGTAATCATCCGTCCTAGTATATATTAGGCCAAGTGACATTGTTCCTCTCACATACCTTAGAATTCTCTTTGGTGTCTTCCAATGAGTATACCTTGGCTCCTCCATATACTGACTTGCTATTCCAATACTTAGTATTAAATCTGGTCTAGTATTTGTAAGATACCTAAGACTTCCAATCAAACTTCAGTATTTGCTTGCATCAACTCGGTCTCCATTTGCATACTTAGAAAGTTTTGTACCAGGTTTCATAGGGGTGGAAACCGGGTTGCAACTTGTCATCTTAAACTTCTTCAAGACCTCCTCAGCATATCTTTCCTGCGACACAAAGATGTCATCCTTTCCCTGAACAACTTCTAAACCAAGGAAATACTTCATAAGACCCAAGTCAGTCATCTCAAATTCCTTCTTCATCACTTCTTTAAACCCTTCAATCAACTCGACATTATTCCCCATGAACATAAGGTCATCAACATATAGGACAACTGATATGATTCACAAGAGGTGATTTAGGATCTTTAGGGTTAGAACCTTGTAAGAAATTTAGGAATTTAGTGATAAGGTAGAAGGAAAAAATCACTCTTTCCAAGGAAGACAACTCACAAAGGATGTGATACAGCCAAATATTCTTGAATCACTCAAGAACTTAGGAGAATCACTCTCACTAAAATAAAAGAGATAAACTCTAATATTTAAAAAAATAAAACTCAACTTGTTATTTCTGATAAAAATGGTTCAGCTTATAAAGAAGCTCTGCCATCAGAGTTACAAAGATTCAATAAAGGAAAATAAATACTAATAATGATTTATTAACCTAGGAATTGAAAACTACTTAATGGCTGATTGTAACTGAAATTGTGGCAGCCAAAAGTCAATCAGCTATACACCCTCTTGGTCTCCCAAAGACTGATAACTAAATTTCCAATTGGACCCTTATTACAACTTGTAATAAAATCAAACTAAAACTCATTAATTGATTAATCCAAAACACAATTTGGTCAACCAACAATACTTGTTGAAAAGCTTCATTTGCTTCCCTTACTCTAGCCCTTATCATAGGTCATGTTCACATCATTCTCTCCCTCTTGAAAAGGATTTGTCATCTACATAAAAATAAGATAAGTATGACAAATTGAATGTAGAACTAACATTATATTCACTTTTTATAGCTAAATAACTCTCTCTTACTTCAAGTGTTTCACTCTTTTTCTTATCAAGTGATTCGCTAACGTTTTTTTTTTCTCTTTTCTTGAAGAATTTTTTTTCTCATTTTCTTTTTATCCTCATCTGCTATCAATTTGATGTTCAAACCTTTAAACCGAGGCTCTGAATACCAACAACTGATATGAATCACATGGGGTGATTTAAGATCTTTAGGGTTAGAACCTTGTAAGAAATTAGGAATTTAGTGATAAGATGGAAGGAAATAATCACTCTTTCAAGAAAGGCAACTCACAAATGATGTAAAAGTCCTTTGATATAGTCAAATATTCTTGAATCACTCAAGAACTTAGGAGAATCACTCTCACTAAGATAAAAGAGATAAACTCTAATATTTATAAAAATAAAACTCAACTTGTTATTTCTGATAAAAATGGTTCAGCTTATAAAGAAGCTTTGCCATCAAAATTACAAAGATTCACTAAAGGAAAATAAATACTAATAATGATTTATTAACCTAGGAATTGAAAACTACTTAATGGCTGATTTTAACTGAAATTGTGGCAACCAAAAGTCAATCAGCTATACACACTCTTGGTCTCCCAAAGACTGATAACTAAATTTCCAATTGGGTCCTTATTACAACTTGCAATAAAACCAAACTAAAGTCAATTAATTGATTAATCCAAAACATAATTTGGTCAACCAACAATACTTGTTGAAGAACTTCATTTGCTTCCCTATCTCTAGCCCTTATCATAGGTCATACTCACATCAACAATAAACATCACATCTTCTCCTTTCTTCTTTATGCATAGAGCATGTTCGTAAGGACACTGCTCATATCCATTCCTCTTGAAGTAAGTGTCAATTCTTTAATTCCATGCTCGTGGAGCTTGTTTCAAGCCATAAAGTGCCTTCTTCAATCTCAGCACTTTCTTCTTTTCTCCTCTTCACATGTATCCGAGTGGTTGTTCAACATATACTTCCTCCTCCAAGACTCCATTCAAAAATGCCGACTTCACGTCCACTGCGAGATTGTCCATCTGTGTTGAGCTGCTAAAGAAATTAGCAGCCTAATTGTTTCCATCCTCGTCACTGGGGCGAATACTTCATTATAGTTTATTCTTTCCTTCTGCTTGTACCCCTTCATTACAAGTCGAACTTTATATCGCTCAATTTCTCCTTCAACATTTGTCTTCTTCTTGTACACCCACTTTACGTGGTTAGGTTGTGTTCCTTTGGGCAAATCAGTCAGCTCCCACGTGTTGTTGCGTTCTATTGCCCCTATCTCCTCGTCCATTTCTTTTTGCCACCTTTTCTCCTGCACGACCTTTTCTAAACTTAAGTCTTCTGAATCTGCCAAGAAACATACAACATGCACTTCGTCAATGGAGTTGTATATATCTTGTAAACTTCGCGCTCTGGGCTGTAGAGGTTCATCTTCTTCATCAAAATTCTCATGATCTCTCACAGTATGTGGTATATCAACTTTCAAGCTTCTACTTCCTATAGACTTCTTCTCCGGTTTATTCCAACTCCACTCGCTATCTTCATCAATTTGAACATCTCGGCTCATAATGACCTTCTTAGTTATTAGGTTAAACAACCTGTACGCCTTGGTTTTTTCATCATACCCAATAAACACTTACTTTTTGCTTCTATCTTCGAGTTTGGTCCTTTGTTGAACTAGAACATGACCATAAGCTATGCTGCCGAACACTTTAAGGTGAGACACACTCGACTTTTTTCCACTCTAGACTTGTTGCGGTGTCTTTTCGTTTAGCTTAGCATGTGGACATCTATTTTGCACATAGATGACACATTGCACTGCTTCTGCCCAGAACACCTTTGGCACATTCTTGCTTTTCAACATTGTTCGAACCATGTTAAGAATGGTTCGATTCTTCCTCTCGGCAACTCCGTTTTGTTGGGGAGAGTATGGTGCTGTCAGAAATCTCCTTATCCCTTTCTCCTCGCAATATTTCATGAGTTCGGATGAAATCAACTTGCCTCCTCGATCAGACCTAACAGATTTGATAGGCATGTTAGCCTCTTTCTCGACCATTGCTTTAAATCTTTTGAACACCTCAAACACCTTGGATTTCTCTTTCAAAAAATATACCCAGGTTTTTCTTGAAAGATCATCTACCAAAGAAATGAAATATTTTTTCCCATTGAAAGACTCAGGGGTAATCGGTCCACAAAGATATGTGTGAATCAATCCGAGTTGTTCCTTTGCACGGTACTCGACAGTCCTGGAAATGAGGTCCTCGAATGCTTCCCGAGCACACACTCTTCACAAAATTTCTTCTCAAATTCCATAGACGGGAGTCCTCGCACCATCTCTTTCTTTACCAACTCGGCCAGCCCGTCAAAATGCAAGTGACCAAACCGAAAGTGCCACATCATTGCTTCATCCTTCACGTCAAGTTTCAAGCACCTCTCTTGGACTATCTTCAAGTCCAGCTTATACATTTTGTTCTTCTTCATTTCTACTCGGATAATCAAACGATCCGACTTGTCCTTCAAGTATAGTACTTGGTCTTTCATCAGAACCGAGTAGCCCATCAGCTGGCCCATGCTTAATATGTTGCTTTTGAGATCGGGTACATAGTATACTTCTTTGATTTCTCCAACTCGGCTATTCTTTTGCAGATACCAGATTGTACCTCGGCCTTTTACTGCCACCTTTAATGCATCTCCAAACGACACGTGTCCGACCTCAACTTTAGTGAGCTCCTTAAAAAGGTTCTCGTCCCCGCACATGTGGTTACTTGCTCCTATATCAAGATACCAAACCGAGTTTTTAGAACAACTCGGACTTAGCTCGACACCCGAACTTCTCGACATCATCAATACTCCTTCTTCCTTAGTGTCCTCAGAGAAGAGGTTTGTTTCCTTCTTGCTCTCAGATCGGCAGTCCTTCGCGAAATGTTTCACCTTCTCACAATTATAACATTTGATACCTGAATAGCAATCCTTAGCAAAATGACCGTACTTCCCACATTTGAAGCACTCAACTCCGGAATTGCTTGACTGACCACCTCGGCCTCTACCGCCACGACCTCTACCTTGTCCTCGACCACGCCAGTTTTGTTGATCGACTTGCTCCTTACCTCTTTCATATCCTCCTCTACCTCTACCACCTCGGTCTTGAGTGTTCTGAGCATAAGGAACATTCTTCTCCTTTAAGGCTGCCTTTGCTTGGAGTGCTTGATCAAGGGACTCCTCTTTCTTCTTCCTTCTCCGCTGCTCATGCGCTTCAAGCGACCCGACAAGCTCTTCTACCGAGAGCACTGACAAGTCCTTGGACTCCTCTATTGCACAAACGATATTATCAAAGTCGTTGGATAACGACCTTAAGATTTTCTCCACCACTCGGCAAGTGGACAACATCTCTCCATTTCTTCCGAGTTGATTCACCACGGTCTAAACACGGGAGACGTACTCGGCAACCCCTTTGACCTCTTTCATCCTCATGTTTTCAAGCTCGCCTCTGAGAGTTTGAAGCCTGACTTGCTTCACACGATTATCCCCTTTATATGTCTTCTTCAGAATATCCCACGCTTCTTTTGAAGATTTAGCATTTGCTATCTTCTCAAAGTCGGACTCATCAACAGCTCGGTACAGCACATACAAAGCCGTTTTGTCCTTTACCCGTATTGCTCTCAACGCAGCAAGCTGGGCAATCGTCTGCTCTCCAATATCCTCTGGTTCTTGGTGCCCATTTTCGACCATATCCCATACTTCCTGGGAACCAAGGAGAACCTTCATTTGCAGACTCCAGTTATCATAGCTTCTACTTTTCGATAACTTTGGTAGGGGCATGCTGTTAGCTAAGTTGGTCATCTCGAACAAACTCTCTAACTCTCAAACACTCTCTCTAACGCACTCAGACACTCAGACTCTCAAGCTCTGATACCAATTTGTTGACAAACGAGTATCTAAATAAAACACTCTGTATATTATCACTTGATGTGTTTTTTGTAATGAGTGGTACATGGTCAATTTATAGGCCTCTAGACATGACATCTCAACTACATGCATTCAATACAACCATTACCTCTCAACTACATGCATTCAATTACAACCACTACCTCTCAACTACATGTATTCAATTACAACCATTACCTCTAAACTATATGCATTTAATGTTTACCGAACAAGTTCAAGGTCCAATAGTCTATTTAAGTTGAACTAACAAATTAAATGATACTATTTTAATATAAAAATATAATAAAAAAAATTACAAATGTTCAACATTTATATCCATGCTCAAACGGAAAGACTTCACACCAGCATGTGGACCATTGCATTGAACACGAACCCAAGTAAGAATAAGAGGAACATACCATTGAAACATTTATCAAACGATACTTTAACAGATGGTCGTTAAATAACAACACTATAAGGCAATTGTGGCAAAAGTTAAGGATGACTGAACAGATAATATGATTTGTATAATGCAAAAGTATGGTGTTAAAACAATTACCTGTACAAAGGGAATTTCCTGCCACCTCTTGATATGAAATCCTGAAACAAATTTGATCTGAGTAAATTACAACAGTTTTAATTTATCTTTGAAAGTTCATCATGTAAGTGCTCATATTGAAGACCTAATGATTATTTTTTTTGTTATTTTCTGGGACAACCATTATCCCCGTCTGGATCTCAAATATTCAATTCTTTTTTTGTTAACCATCTGTCCATTTATGGCTAGATATATTAAGATTTCATTCACTTAGTTTCCTAATTGATTTTTGCTTAACTTTATCTATAACTCTCGGCACCATGAAATCTAATTTAATAAGCACTGTTTTGATCACCAAAACTGCTACCAATGTGGTTGTTAATTTCTGTCAATTCCTTGCACGCCACCCTTCAACACACGACAAATACAGCTTTCAATGCAGCTACTTTTCTACCTAATTAGTATTTATTAAAACCCTGACCTTTCTCAAGCTTGTGAAGTCTTCACTTACTGCAATGGACCTCAAAGCTATATGATGTAGCTAGCATCCTCATCAAACACGTATAAAGTCCATGAAATCAGTAATTTAACAAGTTCTCTGTATATTAGATATTCTTGCACATCGACTGTTGGTTGAATCTCACCAAACAGGAAACACAAGTTTCATTTAATGAAGATTAAATTGTTTAAAGCCATCAAAACAACTTGGTAATTTTAGCTTTGCTTCACATACACTGAAGAGTATAACGCGCAGATATTGGTAACTAGGAAAGAACAAGACAAGATCGATTGGAGTACTCAACATTGTGCTAAGAATTTCTGATGGAAACAATATCTGGGAGATATTAACAAATATGACCACGAGTCAAACATTTAAGAAAATATGATTTTACTTTCAACCAAAAAGCTTAAAAGTGGATCTCTCTCATTTATATGTTGGTCAATCTTCCCCTCAGTGTAAGTAATATAACACCACGTCGAGAAAAAAACCTTAAAGATATTCGGTTTACGAGTCTCTTTCACTAATATGTTAGTTAACTTTTCCAAATCTATCTAATATGGGATTTAACTCACTCTTAAACTCTAACAAATTGATGAGCAACAGTTTTACTATTTAAGTTATACTACACATGTTGGGAAATAAGGTCGGATAAGATGGAATAATAATAATACACCAATGTGAGATCAATAAAAGACACGAATATTTGTTAACCCAGTTCGGATTAAATCCTACATCTGGGGGCGAACCAAGCCAGGAGAATGAACTAGAATAAGAGGATAAACCGAATGTTACAATTCACACAAGCCCGTATGAATACACTCTCTCTACTCTTTCTTCACACTTGGATTGGATACAAATGAGGTTACAAAATGAGGTATTTATAGCCAAACAAATCCTTCTTGAGAGGAAGTTGAGAGGAAGCTCCCTTCCTTTGACCAGGAAGTTGCAAGGAAGCTCCCTTCCTTTGACCAGGAAGTTGCAAGGAAGTAGCCTTCCTTTGACCAGGAAGTTGCAAGGAAGTAGCCTTCCTTTGACCAGGAACTTACGAGGAAGTTCCCTATCTTTGACCGATCTTTACACCTCAACAATCTCCCACTTGAAGATTGGTCAACCTGTTCATCTCTGCTCTTGGTTCTGCTAAGTCTGCCTGTTTTAATCATCAAGGCCAGTCGAAGCTACACACAGCTTCAACTTTTCCAAAGTTACCGCCTTGGTCAACATGTCTGCAGGATTCCTATCTCCCCGAACCTTTTTCAGCTGCAGCATCTTCTTCTCTAGAAGTTGCCGGATGAAATGATACTTAACCTCGATGTGCTTCGTTCGCGAGTGAAACGCGGGGTTCTTTGCCAGATGGATTGCACTCTGGCTATCGCTGTATAGAGCCACATCCTCTTGAGGTCTCCCAAGTTCATTCAAGAAGTTTTGCAGCCAAACGAGTTCCTTGGCTGCCTCCGTCACTGCCACGTACTCAGCTTCCGTTGTGGACAATGTGACTATCTTCTGCAGCTTTGAGATCCAGGATACGGCCGTCCCGCCGTAAGTGAATACGTACCCAGTAGTACTCCTCCTCTTGTCAAGATCACTTCCTGCAAAATCAGCATCGACATACCCAGACAGGGTAAGGGTACCCCTGCCAAATACTAATGCCCGGTCCTTAGTACCCCTCAGGTACCTAAGGATCCACTTTACCGCCTCCCAGTGCATCACTCCAGGATTGCTCATGAACCGACTGACTACTCCCACTGCATGTGCTATGTCTGGCCGGGTGCAGACCATAGCGTACATTAGGCTCCCGATAGCCGAAGCATACGGCGTAACTCTCATCTTTTCTTTTTCCGAGTCATCCTGGGGCGAATCCTTGTTGGACAACTTGAACTGGCTTCCCAATGGCACTCGAACCGACTTTGCGATATTCATATTGAATCTGCACAACACCTTCTCAATATAATCAAATTGAGAAAGCCAAAGTTTACCAGCATTTCTGTCCCTCGTGATTTTCATGCCCAGTATCTGTCTCGCTTCTCCTAGATCCTTCATATCAAATCTCCTTGATAGCTGATCTTTGAGCCTCTCGATCTCCTTGACATCTGATCCTGCTATCAGCATGTCATCCACATATAGCAGTAAAATAATGAAAGAGTTACCGAACTTCTTCACATAGCAACAATGATCAGCATTACACCTGGAGTATCCTATCTCCAGCATGAAATTATCGAATTTTCGGTACCACTCGTCGAGGAGCCTGTTTCAGTCCGTACAAGCTCTTCTTTAGGCGACGAGACCTGCTGATCATTTCCTCTATATCCCTCTGGTTGCACCATGTAAATTTCCTCCTCGAGATCCCCATGCGAAAGGCCGTCTTCACATCTAACCGTTGCAACTCCAAGTTTTCCGCCGCTACGATGCTTAACACTAAACGTATAGTGGTTAACTTAACAACAGGTGTAAAAACATCGGTAAAGTCAATACCGTATCTCCGTTGGAATCCCTTTACTACAAGTCCGGCCTTGTACCGTTTTGTTCCATCCGATTCCTCCTTGACCCGATAGACCCATCTGTTTTGAAGAGCCTTCTTTCCTTGTGGGAGATCACACAAATCCCATGTGTGGTTCTTCTTTCATCTCGTCTTCCATCGCAAGCTCCCACTTGCTCTTGTGGGCATCTTTAACCGCCTCTGCATAACAGTCGGGTTCCCGAGAATCGGATAAAAGTAGGTAATAAAGAGAAGGGGAGTACCTATCCAGGGCCCTTCTCATCCTTGGTTCTCGGCCCGGTGCGAGGCGTGCTCGCTCTCAGCAATCGGTTCATCCGATTCCGGTTCCGCCTCTTCTTCGTACGCTCGATCTCATCTATCTGAGCTCCCACTGTATCTGCTGGTCTCATGATTCCGGTATTTGAAATATCGAGACCAACATACTCCTGCATGGTCTTGTCATCGTCCAGGTATTCCTTCCGGTCCTTGTACATTATGCCTTCATTGAACACCACATTACGACTGCGAATAATTTTCCGATTTTGATCATCCCAAAATCTATACCCAAATTCGTCAGTCCCATATGTTAGGATCGAGCGCTTACCACTAGGCCAAAAATTGGTATCAGAGCCAAGGTCACGAGTTCGATTCCTGGTGGGCAATTGTTGAGGGGGAGATTGTTGCAGGTTGCACAATTGTCCCGTGGCAGAGGCCGGGTGGGCCAAGTCACAATCCAAGAGTGGGATACCTTGTAGGACAATTGCTGAGGGGGAGATTGTTGCAGGTAGCATCAATTGTCCTGTGACGAAGGTCGGGTGGGCCGAGTCACAATTGAATCGTGGCGCTTGGGTCGTTAAAGTAAAAAGAGTTACGCTCGACTAATGGCTATAGCTTTTGGCCTAGTGGTAAGCGCTCGATCCTAACAATTGGTATCGAGCCAAGGTCACGAGTTCGATTCCTGGTGGGCAATTGTTGAGGGGAGATTGTTGCGAGGTTGCACAATTGTCCCGTGGCGAGGCCGGGTGGGCCAAGTCACAATCCAAGAGTGGGATACCTTGTAGGACAATTGCTGAGGGGAGATTGTTGTAGGTAGCATCAATTGTCCTGTGACGAAGGTCAGGTGGGCCGAGTCACAATTGAATCGTGGCGCTTGGGCTGTTAAAGTAAAAAGAGTTGCGCTCTGACTAATGGCTATAGCTTTTGGCCTAGTGGTAAGCGCTCGATCCTAACACCATATCCAATGAATGTACATTTGACGGACTTAGCATCCAGCTTTGTCCGGTCGTCATTCAAAACGTAAGCCAAACAACCAAAGGTACGTAAGAAAGAGAGATCAACTTTCTTACCACTCCAGACCTCTTCTGGAATTTTGTTGTTCAGTGGGACAGAAGGCCCCCGGTTGATCAAGAAAGCGGCCGTGCTGACTGCTTCTGCCAAAAACATCTTGGGCAGTCCACTCTTCAATCGCATGCATCTCGCACGCTCATTCAGTGTTCTGTTCATCCTCTCCGCAATGCCATTTTGTTGAGGTGTCCCTGGGACCGTCTTCTGCATCCGGATCCCATGATCGGCGCAGTATTCTTTGATGGCTTCACTGTTGTACTCGCCACCGTTGTCGGATCCGAGACATTTCACTTCCGAGACTGTCTCTTTCTCCACGAGTGCTCTGCATCTCCTGAAAGTATCAAAGGCTTCGGATTTTCTTTTCGAAAGTACACCCATACCTTTCTTGTGCGAGTCATCGACGAACGTCATGTAGTACATCGATCCTCCAAGAGATGTCACCGGTGCTTGGCCCCCATAAGTCGGTGTGCACTAGCTCCAGCTTTTTCGTCTTTGGAGCTCTTCCGGTGGTTATGAAGCTCACTCGCTTCGCTTTCCAAGCACGCATTGCTCGCAGAGACCCACGTCCACCGACTCCAACTCGGGCAAAAGTCCTCTCGACTTTAGTACCTTCATTCCTTTTTCGCTCATGTGGCCCAAGCGATCGTGCCATAAGTGCGATTGTGAGACAACTCCTGCCAGGAGAATGTTTGAGCTGGATCTACTCGCCGTGTAAAGCGTTCCCGACTTCAGCCCTCTTGCCAAAGTCATAGCTCCTCGGCCGACCTTCCACTTTCCGTCTCCAAACATTGTGTGGAAGCCGTCATTGTCCAGTTGTCCAACCGAGATGAGATTCCTCTTCGAGTCCTGGAATGTGTCTCACATCACGTAGGGTCCAGGCATGACCCATTTGCGGACTTGATCCGCACATCTCCCTTCCCTACAATTTTTAGGGATTTGTTGTCCGCAAGATATACCAAGCCAAAATCACCTGTGGTGTATGGCTCCATGATGTCTCTGCTACTGCATGAGTGAAATGAGGCCCCTGAGTCCACGATCCAGTCATCGAGCGAGCTTCTCACACTCAACAAGAGTGCATCCGCCGTGTCCTCCGTCGCGGCATTGGCTGTCCGACCTTCTTTGTCTTTCCTTGGTGCCCGGCATTCGCTTTTCATATGCCCAGGCTTCTCGCAGTTCCAACACACCATCTCTTTCTTGCCTTTATTCCTTCCCCGGATTTTGACCTCCCACGGATTTTCCCTCGTGTTTCGGGTCTCCCTCTCGGACTCTGTATGTAGAGGCTGAGCCGGACGACCCACCCGCCTGATTTCGCGGGTCTCCTCGTTCAACATCATATCTCTTATGTTGTCGAACTTCATCTTCTCCTTGCCGGAAGAAGTGCTCACCGAAGTAACGACCACGTCCCAACTGTCCGGCAATGATGAGAGCAAGATTAGGGCTTTTACCTCATCATCAAACGAAATATCCACCGATGCCAACTGCGTAGTGAGTTGGTTGAAATCGTTGAGATGATCGGCCACCGACTTTCGCTCCTCCATTTGCAATTTGAACAGCTTTTTCATCGGCATCACCTTGTTTATTGCTGATGGTTTTTCATACATGTCGGCGAGTATCCGCAAGACCTCCTTCGTGCTTTTTGCTCCCTTCACATGGTAGGCGACGTTCGAGAGAGCGAAAGAATTATAGCACTCATCGCCTTCCGATCGAGCACCTTCCATTCATCATCGCTCATCTTCTCGGGTTTTTCCCCAAGAGGTGCGTAGAGGTCCTTCCCGTACGGGTAAGCCTCCATTTGCATTCGCAGAATCCAAAGTCGGAACCATTGAACCGTTCGACTTGAATCTTTCCCTCCATCTTATCTCCAACCTCCTGGCTCGATACCGGTTGTTGGGAAATAAGGTCGGATAAGATGGAATAATAATAATACACCAATGTGAGATCAATAAAAGACACGAATATTTGTTAACCCAGTTCGGATTAAATCCTACATCTGGGGGCGAACCAAGCCAGGAGAATGAACTAGAATAAGAGGATAAACCGAATGTTACAATTCACACAAGCCCGTATGAATACACTCTCTCTACTCTTTCTTCACACTTGGATTGGATACAAATGAGGTTACAAAATGAGGTATTTATAGCCAAACAAATCCTTCTTGAGAGGAAGTTGAGAGGAAGCTCCCTTCCTTTGACCAGGAAGTTGCAAGGAAGCTCCCTTCCTTTGACCAGGAAGTTGCAAGGAAGTAGCCTTCCTTTGACCAGGAACTTACGAGGAAGTTCCCTATCTTTGACCGATCTTTACACCTCAACAACACAATACCAAATTGAAAACATCACCTGAGTGAAAATGCCCTTTGCTTTAGAAACACGCAGTCGAGTTGCAATTTCTTTTGGTGCAAAACTATCAGCTATTGATACCACGACACATCCTGCTAGAACAATGGCTAGATATATAATCACTGCATTGACAGTCATTTGCATGTCAATGGCAATTGCATCCCCTTTCGAGAATCTGGTATCTATTGCATTCGCCACCAACCTGGAAAAAACAAAACAAAAAGTATGAAAATATATATATCATGCAGGAAGTAAATATAGAGATTGAAATTACTTAAAGAATAAAACAATAGGGAGAAAAGATCAAAATCTAAAAAGTGGGATACAAGAACAAACACATGGAAGCAAAATAAAATAAAATAGCAGAATGATACACAAATTAATCCCGATTCAACAATAAGAAAAATAAAAAGCAGCAATGAAATTGAAAAACACACATTAAATTCTTGAATTGACCAACTTAGCTCAACTATGATAATGTGTAAAACAACTTTGGTCCAAAAGCAAGAGTGAGTTGAAAGGCTTACATTACTTGTTGTCGGAGTTGTTTAAGCGTGATACGATTAACCTCGGAATCATCAAAACCTTCATCTCTCCAAACAATGGCTAAACTGTCATCTGGTTTGTAGGGATGTGAACTGGGTTGCACACAGCAATCAGCAATGTTGAGGACGGAACCGGGAAGCCAAGTCCCTCCATGTCTAGAAGGGTCAGAAGTATCTAAAATGCACTTGGGAGGTTCAACAAAGGTGACCGAAAGTTCCTTCAGAACAAGGGACCAGTACAGCTGCATTGACAATAACAATCAACAAACAAGCAAAACAAGACATGTTGAAAATACAGAATGGAATGAAAGAAAGGAAAAGAAGTGGAAGGGTTGTTGTGTTTGCTTGCCTGAGGGTGTTGAACAGAAAACTTTTGAAAGAGAGGAAAACTGGTAATTGGGTCTTTGTAGGAAAGTCCTAAAAGTTGAGGGGCATGAGTCTCCATGAAACGGCCAAGGTTGGTGCGTTTGGAGTGCTCCCTGAAATGAAAAGGAGAAGTGAGTGGAGATTGACATATGGAGAGAGATAGTAGGTGAGTTAGTATTGCAGTGGTGAGAAGTGATAAGCAGAGAAAGACATACAGAGAAGGGAACCAATAAAGTGGAAGGGAAGCATGTTGAGAGTGGAAAGCAGAGTGATAAACAGAGTGGTAGAGAAGGTGATGGAAGGAGTGTGGAAAGGATGGTTTGAGGAGTTTGTGAGCGAGAAGGCGGCGCCATATGAATGAGGGGTCGGTGGGAGAGAGACACTGAGACAGAATATCCCTCAAAACGCGATGTACTTCGTTGGCTTCAGCTACAGTCAACCCTGCATTCACCAAGTCTTCCACTTCCAATTCCCTCACACTCTTCCCCATCTCTTTCTCTTTCTCTTTCTGTTTGTGTGCGTAGTTTTGAAGTTGGAAGTTATGAGAAGGGTGATTAAAAGGGTGAAGAGGGGTGGTTGATGTGAGTTTGAGGTCCCAAAGTTGACCAACGAGCGCCCTCCAACCACCTAACTCTCTAAGGGTAGTAGGTGACTCAACACAACCAAACAACCAACGATGTTCTTTTTATATACACAGACAAAACAAGTACCGTTGCCTTGCATGGCGTGCAACACTCATGTAATTCATGTCTTTTTTGTACGAGTTAAATTAGAGATTTGATTTCATTTTTCTCACGTGAATAATTTTGTATCTTTTTTGTAATACCTTTAATATTATGACTATTTTTTAATTCAATGAATATAAAAAACTTACATAGTCTTATAGATATGTTTGATGTTGTTTTTCAATAATACTTAAAAGGCTTAAATAAGTTTAAGATGTTGGATGACTGATCTTTTTATTTGAGTATTTAATAAAAATATTTAAATTGAATATCTAATAAATTAAAATTTGGTTTATAATTCTAAAGTTACTTTTATCTATTCTACTATTCATGTTTTATTAAGTTAGTCGAGGAATTAGAAGAGAATTCTAAAATGTTTTAGAGATTATTTAAAAAGTCAACATAATAATACGGATGAAATATTAATAAAAAATTCAAATACTTAAATAAGAAATTTATAATTTATTAAATTCAAAAAATTTATTGAAGAAATTTTTTTATTAAATACTAAAAATATCAAAGACTAAAACTTACTGAAGCTTATTTAGAATTAGAATTTTACTTTGATGATTCATAATATACACCCTATTTAGTGTATTGTATATTATAAAGATGAAACTCTAAATATTAAGTTGAATAAATTGTAAATACAACACATTAATGTCTAAATTATTTATGAAATATTAACTAAAAATTATTTTAAAATACTTTATTTTAACTATTTATATTTTATTCTATAAAATAAGAATTTAAATATTTGTTTTACCATTCAAGAATTTTTCACACGCACTTCCAAGACATAAAATTGCTTAGGTTCTTGATAATTTACATCTTTATCTTCCTCTCTACCATTAATTAAGTGAGTTTCTTTCTTTCTTTTTTTCAAAAAATAGGATTATTTAATTTTTAAAAATATGTTATTTATAAAATAATTAATTTTGATTTAATTATTAATTTAATCGAAAATAAAAATATTTATAGAAGTATGGATAAATTTAATCAAGTATATTTATATTAAATATTATATTATTTTTTATAAAAATATAAATTTATTATCGAAATAGATAATTTGTATGATTATGTTGTTCATCTCAATAAAAAGAACATTTTTTTTTGTTTATTTTCAACTAATACATCCAATTCATTTTGGTTTCTATTAATTGTAGATCTTTTTGATATTTTTCGACGCATATTAGGATCAACACAAAAATTTGGACATATATAAATAAACTAATAATCTTCACTTCAAACTGCATGGAATTGAAATTCACGCGCCTTATGAGTGTTTTGTAACGTATAACTGGATCAACAAATGCAAATGACAAAAGGAATAAACAACAATAATATAAGAACAAGGGAGTCGAAAAACTTGGAATTTTCCATAATCACATCACCATTGATTTAATCGAAGTGTGTAACTTATTAATGTTTGATGATGGTGGGGATTAGATTGATTTTGTACGTCAAACTCAGAATTATCTTGATTGTACCTTTGAACATGACACATTCAAGCACGTTGTTCATTTTTGTTAAACAATGTAGTAATATATTCTGGGTACTCGTATCCCGCTCGTAACATGTACTATGTTTTCATGCTTCTTTTCACAATATTTAGTTATTTTAAAAGTTGTTTTTACTAAGGCAAATATAAGTAAAACCCGTGTTCCTTTGATAACAGAATTCATTGACACAACAAGATTTGTTATCATATGTTCATATTGTTTTCTTTCATAATAAGTTTGAGTCCATTTATCCAATAGAATCTCATCTAACCAGGACATTTGTTGTTCAAATTCGAACCTTAAAGTAGATAGTTTTCTTAAAAGTGTGGGTTGTTTCATCTTATATCCTACACAGAAAAATATAATTTCAAATATTTGTTATTTAGAGATAAAATTTGTGTAGGTTAGAAGATGTTACCTAGATTGATGACTTGCCTTTTTAAGTTAATATTTTTGACCTTTTCGTTGAAATTTGAGTAAATATAGCGAATACATTACATTGAGGTGAAATCATTCTAATCAAGATCTTCTGGTTGTAAAACTGACGATATTCTTTTACCTCTGCATGTTATCATGTATAAATTATTGAGACATAACGTAATGTCTTAGAAGTTGCAAGAATCCTATCAATATTTCTTTCATTTCACTTTCTATAATTGCAAATACAAGTGGAAATATGTTTCTATTGTCACCTTGTGAAGTTGCAATCAATAATGTAGCATGGCCCTGTTAGGAATATACCGTCAACTTAAACAATTGGCTTGCAACATTTAAAGCCTTTTATACATAACTTAAATGATTAGAAGATATGTTATAATATATAATATAAATTATAGACTATCTAAATGAGGAGAACAAACATACTGAACAAGTGTACTAGGATTACTATCTTCAACAGCTTACGCCTTGGAAGATCATTGTATACCAGGATTATTATAGTTGGGGATCAACTGTCTTAACATGTATGTATAGAGCGTTGGATTATAACATTGACTATCATCAGGAGAATATTGGAAGATGTATGTTATTGCTTCAAGCTTGGGTACGAGACAATATTACATGCATCTGTTCTAAGGTAGAAGATTTAATCAATAAGGAGATTGTTGCAAGATATGGTTTTCCATTGGCTAAAAGGTATTCAAATTTATTTTATATTTTTTATTCCATTTTTTCAAATTACTTCATTTTATGATAATATATTTTTTGTATGCAACAGGTGGTCACAACTAGGTCTAAGGTCCAACGTGATTACACATGTTGTACATGCATTATGTTTAACATTTGATCAATTAAAATCAAAGGAGATATTTCATTTATTACAACTTTTAGTATGTATTTCTTAAATCATAATAATTCTAATTTCACAAGTTGTATAAAATAATACAGTTTTTGTGGACTTCTTATTGTCGATATAGGTTACGCCTACTAATAAATATTGAGGTTTCTCCTGTGATTCGTGTTATAATTCCAATTATATGTTTTGTTACTGTTAAGTCTCATCTAACAAATCGGATTATGAGAAAATTTGGCCTTTGCTAACAAATTTCAAAAGACCCGATCAATCTTAACAAACTTCACAGAGAATATATGAAAGGTAGAACTAATAGATTTTGACCTCAAAACCATGAAACTTTGATTACTATGTGGAATGACCATCAAAATTGACTAATTCAAGGAAATGAGTTCAACTGGAATGACCATTTATGTGAAGATATACCATATATGATATGATATTTTCACTATACTATCGAATATATTTTCTCTACTCAAGATGAAGATTTAGATGACAAAGTAAGCGTATCAATAATCTTATTTTATATATATAACATTGATATCAAACTAATATTGATTTATTTTTAATAGTAAGATACACAATAGCAAGAACGACTATAATATATTGGTCAACCTAGTCATGTTCATGTTGGTCAGTTAAGTAATCAATAACCTTATTCATTTTTTTGGATATATTGGTCAACTTCAAAATTTATATGCTCAGTTTCAATTTCGAGGACAAGTTCTTGATACATTTACTTCTTTCTATCTAAAAATAATGTTTTTCACCCCTCCCATGACACCACCATCAGCATACAATCAAACATCTTTTATGACTACTATACCCAGTAAGTCCTTTATGCAGTATGCAAATGAAAATGATGATGATAATAATAGATAAACAAACATTCAACCTCAACCATCACATAGTCATAGGTGTACTACACAAACACAACAATGGTCTACTTAAGATGTAGACCTAGATGACAAATCAGAAGATCATATTGTGGGACAGGGTCTTACCATTAAAATTTTTTACTTTGATTTTTGTAACAATGTATATATTTGTTTAATATTTTAATATAAATATACTCAAATAAATGTATCTATGTTTCCCTAAATAATTTTATTTTTTATTAAATTAATAATTAAATCAAAATTAATTAATTTGTAAATAATATATTTTAAAAAAAATCAAACAATCCTATTTTTTGAAAAAAAAAACTCAATAATACAAGTTTTCAATACAAAAAAATAATACAAAACTCGTGCTAGACCTTTAAAAAAAAAAAAACAATCAACTAAAATCGAAGTATGCACAATTTTATTGTTGACCGCCAAATACTTCCAAATACGATTTCTTCACGTGACTTAGCCCATTTTGATTTTTTTTTCACCGTCTTACGTAAAATCAGAATTTTTTTACCCAGTTTAATAATAATAAAAAAAGTCAATGAAGTGATGATAGTATTATTCTCTTGTAAATTTTTATTTCTATTTTGATCTCTATAATTTATTGACATATATCTATTAAATGATAATTTAAGTAGTTAAGTAAAATTAACAAGTGTTTTTTTTTAAATTGTTGTGTTTGAAAAAAAATAATCAACATGATGCGAGCGGTGTATTTTTCCTTCAATTTAAGGTTTGTATCCATATTTTCTTTGACAAATAATTTTTAAAAATAACTCTCATTGCTTAAAAGATATCAATAAATGATAAGGATAAAGAAAAAAAAGATAAATTTTTTATTGAAGACCAAAATAGGAGATTTTTTATTAAAAACTAAAAGTAAAATGTAAAAATTGATTGAAAATAACAAATAAAACAAAAATTACATATCAATGTCACTCCTACGTAACATGTCACTCAACCTGACTTAAAGAATGCCAATAAATGGCATGAATAAATTTTTTATCAATGAACCAAATAAAAAATAGTATTGAGAACCAAATGTAAGATTTGCAAATTTATAAGAGGCTAAAAAGTTATATAAGCATAAATAAAACAAAATTAATGTAATATTTATACTAATATATGAATAAATTAGCTTTTTAATATTGTATTACACAATTCTCTTAATTAATCGTGATTTTAAAACGATTACATTATATATCATACTACATCTCAATTTCCAAAACTTTTCAAACTATTCATCATATTCGATTAAATAGAATCCATAGCTTCGTAAATTTCCAGAATTCCTAAAAGAAATTTAAAAGGCAATTTTTTTTCTCAATAAAAGACATATTTATAAGTCTTTGTTGTTGTTTCCCCAAATCTAGTTAAACAAACAAATTTAGTATAACAAAATAAATAAAACATGAACTAAGAAAATAATTAAAAGCATGTCATGATAAATAACAATTATCCACAACATACAACTATGAAGAATCAACTAAGGCACTCTCAGGAACAACAAGGAAGGAGTTACTATTGAGTTATTAACTATCATTCTCATTTACGTAATTATTGGAACGCTGTGTATAAGATGGAGGCTAGCCAAAGGGAACTTGTATCACGTTCACTTGGCAAATCGAACAGTCCACTCTGCAGCAATATCATCGTGTTTTGCTCTGTCTCCCGAATACAAGTGAGCAATGCCAGGGACAACAGCGTTATCTGCAACAAACATGACAACTTTACACTCCAAGATCATAACTTTGTACTTAGTTTGTTGATTGAAATGAAAGTGTTGGCATTTCTTATATTACATGTCTGGAAAGGTTAGTTCTACTGCGACGACACTTTTTTACTGTTAAGGTTCCATCATAAAACCAATTGACAATATGTGAAGTAGCCTAACATGTATTTAAACCATACCAAATGACATGAGGTAGGCGATGTGGGACTTTTAACACACCCCCTCCAACGAAGCCCGCCGGACCAGGCAAAGGGTACTTTTGACCCAACTAAAGGGCAACTTTTGGCCCATGACAATAACCGGAAAGATGTTAGGCTTTGGCTCTGATACCATGTTAAGGTTTCAACATAAAACCAATTGGCAATATGTGGAGTAGCCTAACATGTATTTAAACCATACCAAATGACATGAGGTAGGCGATGTGGGACTTTCAACATTTACAATTAAGGAAAGAGATAGGAAGAGAAATATGAGATAAGATGAGTGATATAATGAAGAAAAGAACAAATAAAAACTGTGTTATGAAAAGTTGATATAGGAATTATTATCACAGAGCTATTTGGTTTAAGAAAACGCCTTTTTATTTTGATTTCAGTTTTAGAAAAAAAAAATGTCTTATCGTACCTTAACTTCTTGTTTTCAAATATTTCTATAGGAAACATGAGAACAGAACAGATTAAAAAGAATGTCATTGTTTCTTGTGTAAATCTTGAAAATAAGAAACCAAGCAATAGGACGGTAACATTTTTGTAATTATTTGTATGCACAAGAAATAAAAGCAGATAAAGCATTCTCAAATCAAAGAACCCCTAAGTTATTTGAGTACAAAGTGTCAAACGGACAAGGCTGAAGAGTAGAACCAACATGCAAACCATTATCAAACCCCCATTTATATAAACAAAATAGAAAATGACGACAAGATAGGTGAATAGAATGACCTAAATAGTCATTTCAATAAGTATTTTTTAAGAGGCTGGAAGAACTTACAATGATCAGGATTTGTGAAAATTGATCTAACTGCAAGTAGCACCTTAGTAATTGTGAGTGCTGGACTCCAATCATCCTTCAATATTCCCATACTCACAAGGCCCTCAGAGTCTACATTGCAGTGGTAAATGCGTGTTTTGAATACCACCTGCAATCTCATTTCTTTAATTTAGGACAATAAAACACTGAAATTACTGCAACAGCTCTATACATTATTTTTTGGTTTGCCTGCATATCGCTCCTTTGTTTTTAAAACCTATACCACTCTTCCTTGATCAGGGGAAGTTTATGAAAATCAAGAAAACATGGAGGATGATTAAGGGTCTTCAGAGAAGATTTTGAACATTTCAAGAAAGGTTTGTGTAGGCTTTGTAGTAAGGGGATGTACTTTAAAAACTACAAAACTAGAAAAGGTAACAGTGATATACTCAAAAGTTAAAAAAGTATAAGTAAACTACTCCAAATTTCAATTTAACGAACTAGAATTGAAAAAGCAGCTGGAAGTTCACACTGACCAGTCAACTCCCTAAAACAGCACGGCCGGACAGCAAACTTCCCTTATGCCAAACCAGAAGCCAAAAATATGTGCATTCAAGCAAATGAACAGCCTTTTCCCATAATATTTGTCAAATATTTACAAAATGAGCATCTAGTGACTATACATCTTGGAATCTTGGACAACATTCTTACTCTTGGAAAGGAAAGCTGACACAAACATTCAACTTTACTTATTTTCCAAGCATTACACTCCATATCCCTATTTGCATAAGGTTGATGCGTTGGAATTTAATTTGCTTTTCCTGAAGGGAATCTACCCCAGTCTTGACTTTAAGAGTTAATACACATGCCCATGAGAAACTCATCCCAAAAGAGTAGTCTATTTATCGAGAGAATACTCTAACTAATTACTCAATGAATGACTTTCATTCTGACTGTTCTAATACATGTATCATGTATGTATCTCCCTAGTCGCTTCTTTTCAAGTCACCCTTCCACATCAATTCTTTCACAATGAGCGGGGTAGTTATTATAACATGCATCCCATAAAATTAGCTACTAGGTGAAGAGCCTCATGGCTCAAGAGTCACATTGAACCCCTATACTCTTTATGGAACATAACAATCAGACAGACAAGTTCATCGCCTCACAAAACTGAACTAATAATTGATGGAGCAAGTCATCTGTACTGTCTGCTTGAAGGACTCAAGTCATTGAGAAAATCATGGTCAAAATGTGCACCTCCTCATTGTTTAAGCCTGTCTTGATCCACATCCAATCCATGTCAATGCAACCACTGCTAATAAGTCAATATCAAAAGGATCCATGCAAGAACAACTTTATCCCATAAACAATGAGCATGGATTTCGAGGAATTCAATTCATTCATTGTATAAAATACAACTCCATGCTACGCATGTACAACACGTCAGCATGTGCATTTGTGCTTAACAGTAACCTTTCTTCTACCTAAAATCCTAGTCTCAATCTCAACCCTTTAGCCCCTTACGGCTTACTTTCTAGATTGTCAGACAGTCTCTAGCCCTCCTCATTCTTGATTCGCCTTGCACACCAGTTAATTCTGCTAAAGAGCTGACAAAACCAAAACTGTGCCAGATCTACCAAGTTCAATGGTCAATGACAAAACGATAGATAAAACCACATATCCAACTTGACATAAGATGAAAAGGAAAGGCATTCAATGAAAAGATATTTAAAAAACTATATATGTCATCTTCTGATCAGAAAAAGACACCCTATAAAAGAAATGAAAAACCAAAGGCAAAAGATTCATACACACCCACATGCATGTAAAGTCATGCAAATCCTTCACCTTTACGTGTGAAAAGGAAGAAAACCCATGTCTAAATATTCCAATAGGTTGCTCTATAAATTAATGCGTACAAATTACTTATAGATAGAATCCTCTATAAATCAAAAAAGGGCAAAAGTTAGAGCACAGTAGACATGTTATATACCCACTTCATAGACTTTTCTGGTTGTATAACCATATAACCTATAGGATAACGGACAGAAGCACTAGTATCACAACTAGCTACAAAATCATTAGATCTAGTCTAGCAGTCGGCCAGCAAAATTATTCCACATGCCAATGCAAACACTAAGTTGTGAGAAAGAAACATTAACATAAAAAAGATGTTATCACTCTTTAAACAATAAATTGTTACACTTACTAAAAAGTCGGGTAGTAGTTAATGCGTCTGTTTGGATAAATTTCTTGATTAGAAAAAAAAAAAAGGAAAAATGAAAAGAATACTAGTTCATAGAAAATACGTGCTCCTAAAACAAACTAACAAACAAATATAGCGGAATACAGGGGAAATTGAAACATTTTTTCCCATTAAAAAAGATGAAACGGGTTACTTAAAGAAGTTTATGTTCACTCCTTAATAGAAAACACAAAAAAGAATGGTGCAAGCAACATGAAGAATGTACCTGGGGAGGCTTGAAGGGATAATCACTGGGAAATTTGATGTCAAGGAAAAAGATGCCACCTTGGTAGGGTGTTCCTACAGAGAAGAAGTTGATAAAGGAAAAATCAAAGTTGGGAAGATGATAGGATAGTGATAAGGTTAATAAAATAGAATTGGGGAATGTGTACATACCTGGGGTTCCGATAATCGTAGCAATCCAGTGATAGAGGTTATCGCCCTTAGGGCCAGCGGAGCAATCAGGAGGAGAGTCGTTGTTGAGTTCCACCATTTCCCTCTGAATCCTCTTTCCCGATGCCGATACGGAAGTTGTGGGTACCCATGATGATGTTGAAGAACTCCACGATGATTTTCCTCCCCCTCCTGATATCATCATCACTCTCTCAAACCCCACAAAGTAAACAATTTTCTTCTTCAAACTTTCCACAAGCAAGGACCAAAGTGATTCATTTCATCTACTCTCCCATCTCTGCTCAAATATTACTACTGCGTCCTTAAACTTCAGTGATGATAGTTTATTACATCAGTATTAATATCAGGAAAAAGATTTCCACCCTTAGAAGGTGGTATCAGTATTAATGTTAGTGTCTATGCTTTTATATTTTAATGTAATAAGTAATTTTCTCGTTAATAAAAATGGATTGTTTAAAATATTTTAACCTATTTTTAAGCATTAGTGTTAATAGAATTGATGAATAGAAAATTAGTGAAATCTCGATTGTGTTCCTTCGCACGAATATAATTTTTTTGTTAAAAAACACGTGATAGGTTATCATGTATAGCCTTCGACGTAAAAAAAATCTATTGATAAATTTGGCGAATGATTGATATTTTTTCTATCATATTTAAATAAATTAATTAAAAACATAGGATTAATTTAATAATTTTCATGTAAATGAAATATCATTTAGGGTGGTTAAGTATAAAAGAAATTGCCGAATTTTTTTTGGTTTGAACTTTAGGAAAATCCAACCCACCCAAAGAAGTGTCACTCGACAATGTTTATCTCTCTACATTTCAAGCCTCACTTTATCGTGTAGCTTTAAAACTCTTAAGTTTTTCGTAGTAAAAAAAACACAATCATGTAGAAAATATAATGGAGTCTCATCCACACATTACATTTGTTCATCATAAAATCCTCAGAGAAAAGTTAAAGTCCACAAACTCTATTTTTTGTGCCAAAATTTAGCTTATACCCATAGATAATCAATAAACAAACAACTCGTTAGCAAAAGGGTATTGCGTGTCATTCTGTGTTACTGGATGGGTAGCAATACTCTCTCGCATGTAAAATCCTTTTTACATTGATGCTGAAATGACTGAATTCACAAAGAAATGAATAGCTAGTTAGATCAGTAAGAGAACTTGTAGTTGCAGATGAATTTTGAAGATTCAGAAATACAGAAGATTTAATGAACATAATACAAATCAAATTCAAAAAAGGCGCAATAGAATGGCGGATACAACAAAATCGGCGAAGGCAAGACGCGCTTTTGCTGTGTTTGTTTCATGTGAAGTGAACTGCCCGAGAAACTATCTAACTTTCCTATTCCTAATATTTCCAAGTTCTTGATCAAAATATGCTTCCATGCAGCCGCAGATGCTAGCCTCGGTCTTGAACAAGCAAGCCTTAAAAGGTGTCATGCTGAACTGTAACACCTAATCAGTGCTAACCTTCTCGTCAATACTTGAGTTGCTAAGTATTACCACACCAATTATTATAAGTATGGCACCTGCAAACCACTGTGGAACAGTTTTTGCATCAGAAAATGCATAAATGAAGAAGTTGAACACACAAGCAAGTGGTATATATGATCGGCTACAAGTTTTTTGGTGTTTTAGTTATTTACCACTGTCAGCATCAGTAACAAAGAAAGAAAAACCAAGTAGCCCTTTAGCGCCAAAAAAGCAGGAGCAGGACAACGTTAGGGTTCAAGTTTGGTGCCCCTTGAAAATTAAGTGTGTCTTGGAAAGCGTTTGTAAATTGATTTACAAGTAAAGTGATTTATGTTTGGATTTTTTTATTCTAAAATCAAAATAGTAGAAAAACTCCATGGTTGTTTTATTGCAAAATCTAAGTTATGTAAAGTTTTTCTTTTATCTCAATCAATTTGGACACGAAATCAATTCATTGACACGAGTCAAACACGTGAATGTTAACCTAAAATTACATTAACTGGTATTTCAACGTGGTCCTAAATGATCTCATGTGAATCCAGACCAAACACACAGTAAAACCCAAAGACAGACCTGATGTGTACAAGTGCATCAAAAACTCGTCCCGGAATAGGTCAACCCAATTTACGGGGATACCGACTCGAGGCCACAACCACAATAACTCTGAAGCATCTGGGAGATTAACCTGATTAATTCTAATCCAAGAACAATTTCAAGTCCCAAGCAGGGGTTGATGGAAAAATATTTGACTTCCAAGTTCCAACCACAGAGAATATTTCAAAATGGTGTGTCTGAAGGTTCCAGGGTTTTTAATTGCGGACCACAACACTTCTGCCTCAATAATTCCGTTGCGGAGCTACCCGCAAATAGAGTGTGATTCTAAATCACATGGATTTGCATAACGCATCTGCAATGGACCGGCAAGTCACAACAGAGTTGCAACACCATTCTGTATTACTTTGTCGAAAAAAAAAAATCAAACTTCAATCTTTTAGTCTAAAGTATCAACAGTCGAATAAGTGCGGTAGTGTTGAATGTTTCCGGAGTGTGGAAGGTATTTGATGGTGGAAACAGATGAAATGCCTTAAAATGAATAAAATTCTATGCAGTTTTATAAATGAAAGCTATACTAATGATTGTAACAAATTTGCATGTGATGCAATCATAAAACAATTTCACACCGCAATATTCACATCTGCAAACGGAGCAAACCGGATCTAACTTTAACAGCCAAGCTAAAAGTTGCAAAATAAACCAAACGTCAGAAGATGTTTTATTGGAAGCCAAAGTCATAACACTGACAAACGTGAAGGAAAAAAGAAGACTAACTTCACTACTGACAACTAGCTTATACATTTACACAAGTAAAATAAAAGAAATTCCACAAAATTAACCAATTTTTTTCCTTTCCTGAAAGTAGGCTATTCATCAAATGCCACAGGATTGTGCACAAATTGCAATTACACTATTGATAAGAGAAAGGGTACCTGGAAAGAGAGTGATTCCCGAAAGAAGAAGAAACCTGCTAAACCGGAAGATATAAAATTGGTAGCGAAATTGGTGACAGTTGCCTGAAGAGAGGAGAGAGCTTTAAGGCTATTGACATAGCAAGCCCACATCGTTACATTGAACAATAACACCATCCCGTATCTGAGAAACTGTTCCGTTCGCAGTGAGTAACAAAGATTCAACGAAAGAGAAATGATAATAATATGAAAAACAGAAGTGAAATCCGAATGGGTAACCTAACCTAACCTGGTGAAGGGGGAGCTTTACAGAAATGGCTGCAAGAGCGGCGTTAAATCCGGCAGAAACTGCCCACGCGTATCCTTTTCCGTTGCTGTCTGAACCTGAACCTAAGCCTGAGCTTGAGCCTCTGTCCATGCTCCTTTTGGATCGATCACAATCACAAATTAGGACAAATTATTGTTGTATTGTTCTTTTGCAGAAGAAGCTCATAATTTGGCATCTAAGTTTTGTTGCTGCACTGCTCTTGTGAGATGGGTTTATTAAAAAATATCATAATAAAATATTAAAATACTTATTTACCCTAAAAAAATTACTCAATAAATAAATAAATAAAATATATACAGAGAGAGACAGATAAATATATCAAGTTTTATTTTTCACTTTACAGGAACTTTAAATTTAATAACATGTCTCCTCTTATGATGAAGAAAGTCTGAATTAATTTTTTTGTACAAGTTTTTTTTGTCTCAAGCACGAGTATTTTAAACATTTTTTTCTTATTATTTAATTTAATTTATCTAACATTTTTTTCTTTTCATAAAATACTTGTTTTTATTTTTTGTTCTTATATAAAACCTTTTACTTTTTATAAAATATGAAACCACTATTTTGAGTCATTATAGAATTTTTTTATTTAAGTTCTTCTAAAATAGTTTTCTTTCATTTTCATCCCTCCACAAATATGTAATATTTATTTTACAAATTTTAATTTTGTGTTTGAATGATAAATTTTTAATAGCTAATTATTTTTTAAATGATTAAAAATATTTTGTGATAAAATATATATTTAAATAAAAAAATTAAAAGAAATTACAATTTTAGAATTTTGTTATAGTAATTATATTTTCAAATTTTACTTAAATCATAAGAATTTGAAAAATTTTCTTTTTATATTTTTTTTATCTAGTCAAAACATTTTGACTCGATTTCTATCGAATAGATTTGTTTTTTCCAATTTATGAATATCTTTATTGTTAAATTATAACGGTGATTTTTAATTAATGTCTTCAATTGATCTTAATTAAAATTATTTTTAATTAATTTTAATCAGAGTTATTTTTTTATCAATGTAAATCAGAACTTAAGTCATAAACTAATGCTAGCAAGGGTATTTTTAAAATATTATGTCATGATATTATATCATAGTATTAGTATCAGAACACATAATTAATTATTAATGTGTGAATTGTCATTTATTTATAATAATGACTGAGGAGAAACATGAAAGAAACAAAATTGACCTATTAAGTTAGCTATTCAAATGAACTGACATTTTCATAATAGTTCAATTAAATTGCTGGCGACTTTCAATACTGTTAAGCCTAAGAAACCCATGGATGGATGGATGGAAAAAAATGTTACTTTAAATTTTTATGATCACAACAAATGCATAATTTCTTAAGGGTACTCGGTTCGACTCCTCCTACTAAAGCACTAGATTAAATAACTACCTATCTTCAAAGTGATAAATTACAATGATCCCAAAAGCACTAGATGGGACTCATCTGAAGAAAAAAATGGAGCAAAGAAAAGTTGGAAACAAAATCGATGATGACCACATTACACGAGTCATTGAATGACCATTATAGAGCCAAAAGTACAACAATTGCAGATATCAAATACTTAAGGCTACACACTCGCAGTTTCATACTTCCACCAAAGGGGCTTGAAGGTCCAAGTGCCGTTGGAGGTATACTCAATGCACCAGTGCTCGAGTTTGAACTGATGTAAAAAAAAAACTCCATGAACATATAAGAAATTTAAAACATAAACATTAATTCTAGGTCTATTTAGAGAAACTTTTCCACAAAAACATTTAAGAGAAAAGAAACAACCATTAATTTCACTTTTCCGTCTTTTTCTATCTTAAAAGTGCTTGCATAAAAGTGTTCTCCAACAGACCATAGGTCTAATAAAAGATAAGATTCTATACCTTCCGGTAAATATACAGGATGAAAAACCTGAAACAAAGTACACAGAATTAATTGGTTAAGTAACTTCCAACAATTCCTCCAAACAAGGAAATGTTTCGTGACAAAAAACCATTGAATGGATTAACAATAATAAATCTCTAGACATCTTCACCCATATTTATAAGATGCATGTTTGAAAGTGTATGTTTAGCTTTTCAGGTTGCAATAAGATATTTATAGTAGCCTAGTAGGGCTCATGAAGTTTCAACAGGTTTTATATCTGGGCCCCAAGAATCATAAATACTACTAGACATTGAGCCTTACAGTAAGAGACCAGTCACTATGACAGCTTTACGGGAAACTAGAAATATCAGCATAAATACTGCTACAGACCCAATTACATAGGCTTTGAGGCATTTTTACATAACAAAGTTAATAGATACTGAAGTGTAACTTACTGATATTATCACTCTAATTCAGTAATCACTATTATCAAGCAATGAGACAGGAGCCAGAGATAATGTTGTATTACACTACGATCAAAGAAGTAATAGATACATTGTTTATTTAAATATTCTACGGTGCAAAGGATCTAAACTTTAGGGTGATACCACTGATGGTAATTAAATTCAAAACATGGTTATATATATGTAACAAATCCAAAGAATTAGGCTGAAGTATCACAAGAGAACAATACTAGAGAATACATGAGTTAAAACAAAAATAAGATATCATATCAACTTACTAGGATCCTTAGAAGTAATTGTTGCGGTACCATCAAAGTCGCAAGTTCCACCACCACTATGCTTTTTCTGATAATAATCATTATAAGCATAAGAGGCATGACTTTTAACATTATTGGGGAGATAGCATGGCTGCCCCGGTTGAATTGCAGCACAATTTGCTCCTCCCTGTCCACATGCCCAGCTCAGGCCAGCTTGCAGCTTATCAGTGTCTGCTCCATCTTTAGCCACACAAAAGACTCCTGAAGAATTTCCAGTAATTTGGTCAGAAGCACCAAAACTCAGAGGATAAACACTACTCCCATTAGCATAAAAGATGCCCCAATTTTTTTCTGATATGGGCCCATTCCTCTTGTCTTCATTAAACAATTCATATATATATGTATTGATGGCTATGTTTGGTTGACTAGGAGGGCCTGAACCATTCATGACCCGTTGAATCATGTTGTTAATGTAGAGCTCGGCATTTTCTTCAGTAGCATCTGGTTCATTAGCTCCACCCAATGATGGCCAGCCAGTCTCTGTTACAATAATGGGTATATTATTGAAATTTAAGGCTTCTATAGAGTAGTAGGTAGCATCCACCATAGCGTCAAACATACTGTTATAATGAAACAGAGTGTTTGGGTCAACAATTTGCTTCACTGAAGGGAGAGGTCGGAAAAGGGCATATTCAATAGGGAAAATACCATCTCCTTTAGTGTATCCATAATAAGGGTAGGCATTTAACATGTAGGAGGAATTGGTGTTCTTCAAAAACTGAAGGAGTTGATATATAGTACTGTTCCATGATGAGTTAAAGCTGGCAGTAGAAGGAGGAAAAGGCCTTGGGATAATATCCATGGATTGGGGAGTTGAAACTTTGACCTGGAAGTTAAGGTTTGCAGCAACCAGGGCTTTGTGAAGAGAATTCATGGCAGGAACCAGAACAGGGGCGACATTTGGGATTGTGGAAAGAACCTCACTGCCAACTGCTATTGCTGTGATATTGGTGGACGGGACATAAGCAACAACATTTTTATTAATCCAGGCTGCAGCTGCTGATGGAGATTCTCCAATCCTCAGTACCTCCTCATTGGTGACACCAACAATTACTTCAATACTTGTGTTTGAAAGGGCATGTAGTAAGTGCACATTAGCATCATACAGACGCACATGAGTAATTTGATTAGCTTGTAGAATGTCAACTATATTAGAAGCAGATGGCAGATCAGAAACATCAGTGCCAATGTTTACCCCCACATACGCTCCTACAAGTTAAACAATTATATCTAGCGTCAACTAGAAACAATAATCAACATTCAAAGTTGTACATCCACATGCCTAATCACTTCCCCTTGTGGTAACTATAACATCCTGGCCAATGTACATATGGCCATTCTTTGATGTAAGAAAAGCAGTACTTTTCACTGAAAAATCCTTGTTTTGTAACTATCAATCTCAATCAAAAAATACAGGAACGACCTCATCAATTGTAGTCAATAAATAATAAATGCAAATGCAAGCATAGGAGACTCAGGCCATCTGCGGTCAGCTTGATGAACTAATGACTTTACAGGTAGAATCTTATAGACAATGAAAAGCGCTACCAAGAGCAATTAAATTTCAAACAATTAAAAGATTGAACTGAGCCATAGAATCCTGGTCTACGGCCAAAGCAGAAGAAGCGGTCCAGGAGGAGGCAACATAAAATATATAAATTCAATCTGACAAAGCCAATGCCAAGATAAGTTCACTTTGTTTAAGGGAATGCATGACTATTGGCTAAGCTATCTCCTATCTTCCATTTCATTTTGACTTAAAAAAATTGTTTTAGATATATTTTTATATAAACAAAAAATTGTTGAAAAGTTAAAACCTCTCGCATTATGGTTAATACAGAAACAATGTTCCACAAAAAGTTCCAATATCCAAAATTTAATGGACACACAGTGTGCAAAATAGTCTGGACAATACAGTAAGTAGACTGCTCATAAGAACAAAAAGAGAGCAGAAAAGTCAATTTGAGATATATATATATATATATAAAAAGAACAGAACAAGTATACTTTACCTAATGTAGTGGCAAGAATACCAACAGTGAGCAACAAAACACTCGATAGCCATGTTTTAAGCTTCATCACATCCAACACAACCTCAGCCACCAAGCACAGCCCAATATTGTTGCCCAGCAAAGTCTTCGCTATCAAACTTCAGCAAACAACACGAAATCACATTTGAACAATTAAAATCACCAACATAACACAAACAGAAAATCAACATATAATTATAACAAAGACCACAAGTTGGACAAAACAAGAATAACCAATGTACAATCCCACATGCACTCTTGCAGAAAACTGACTAGCGCAAAATCAAATCTAGGAAGAACAATCTTTCCAAATAGGTACATTGTACACATCAATGCTCAGTCAAAACAAAAATGAAAAAATAAATAATAAAATAAAAAGTTGGCGTTTTTAGAAAAAATTCTAAAAATGGAGAAGAGAGAGAAGCCTGATTTCCTCTTTTACTACGAAATAACCTAACCCTCGACAAAGGGTTTGCAAAGAAAGCAAGAGAAGTGCAGAGTATAGACCTGATTTTAAAAAGCCCTGTAAAGTGGGTCTTGGGTAGCTACTCTTCTCTAGTTGAAAGGTGGGACAGAGCAAAAGAGAACAGAAAAAAAAGGCAACAGTTTTGAGCACAGCAGCACGTAGTAGAAGCTAAAACAGAGAGAAAATTGAATTGAGAGATTTGGGTTGCAATGTGAAGGTGCAGTGATGCATCCACCTAACTTGTTTTTGGTGTGTTGGGAGAAGGAATGGGAATGAGTTGGTGAAGAGAGGGAGAGAAGGAAGAGGTAGCAGTGTGAGGAAAGCCTGAGTCACTTTACTGTCTGAATTGAAACACTCACTCACTCCCCCACTGCGTTATTACTACAAGACAACATTACATCCACATCATTGCCTTCATTTTGCCCTATGGTCTCCCTTTCTTTCTCTCTTTCATTTACCTTTTCCTCATTCTTTTATGTATCTCTATGTATGTGCACATGCAACTTTGATTTTTCTTTATTCATAATTCATAAATAATGTATGTACCATAAAGCTTCTTTTCGTTCCTTTAATAATTACTATTTCTTATTCATGTAAAATACTTCTCACACGATCACATAAATTACAAAAATAATAATTAATTTAACTAATTTTAAAAAAATAATTTATAATATGCCAAATTAAAATTTATTATTAATAACTTCAGAAAAAAATCATTACTTTTTAATGAAAACACAAATACTTATAATATTCAATATTATAATAAAGAAAGTAAATATAAAGTTTTCTATAAAAGAACACTATTAATTTATTCTAAAATATGCTTTACAATACATATTGGAGGAAGGATTATATATACTCATAACATTTGTGATTTTTTTTTCTTGAAAGGTGTGTGTAAGTAAAGAAAAGTTTAATATAATTAATAGTTAATCAAAGAAAAATTAAAATTTGTCAAAGGATTTATTGTATGATTAATCAGGAAAAAACTACATTGACCTCCTTTGAAATATTCTTGAATGGCATTGACATTTTTAGGATTTAAAAAAAAAACTCATCTCAATTAGATATTTATCTTGTGTAGATAAATTGCTACTTTATAATAAACAAATAAATTTTGAATTTATAAATTATTTTTTCTATCTATGAAAAATAATATCCTTTTAGAAGAGACTTTTTAATATTCACATTTTTTTAAATATTAAAATGTAATTAGTAATCCACACACATTCTTATTGAAGAGACTTTTTTAATGTAATCGATGAAAAAATAGTCCTGAAAATACTCTATTTAAAATTATTTAGTCTGATTTATGCAAAATAAATTAATTAAGACTCTTTGTTTTATGTGGGAAAATACGTCCAAAATCTCCATAATAAAATATTGATGTGGTTTGATAAAAAAATAAGAAAAAACACATTTTTATAAAAGTAAATGAATGTATGGAGACTATCTTGTTTAGAAAAATTATCTTTCAAAATTTTAATATACATGAAAAATGTGAAATATATACAAATATAAATTAAAATAAAAGTTATATTATTGATAATCATAGTGTAAATTAAAATATTAAACAATGTTTTTATTTTTAAAAATATTGAAATGATAAAATTTATTTGTTCAAATCTATTTTATTGTTTAAATGTTACAAATATTTCATTTATTACGTTCTAAAAGTTATTAAAAAAGTTCTTTTATGGTGAATCCAAAATATGTTCTTGGTAACAGCTAAGGTAAAAACAAAACCCGTGACCAACTTTTTTTTTTTTTCTGTTTGACAGAATATTTTTTTTTTATGGTTGGTGAAATGTTTAACCATTACTAAAGATTTTACGTCTTTATTGTAATTATAAATATCTTTTAGTATAATAAATGGATTGCAAACCTAGTCTAGACAAATAATATATTTTTTCCATTTTCTTTTCCTTAATCAATATAAGAATATTTGAAGAATTTTTTAACAAAATTAACATGTGACAAGTTAGCAATGTCTATCAAAAGGGTGCACGTTATGAGATATCACAAATGAAATATGTGTGACATTATTGTCCATAATAATAAATAAAAAATTGGTTAAATATATAAAGAGGTAAATAAATAATAAAAAAAAACAATATTTGATAAATTCATCCATTAATCATAATTATGGATTTGCTTTTAGTCAAAATTTGTTTATGACTTTTTACAAATAATTAATGGTAAGAGAACAAATTTATCTAACAATTGTTAAATTTGTTTTATATATTGTTTCTTTACTTGCATGTACACATTTAAACTTGATTGAGATTTAGGATTAGTCATTAATAATGACTTTCTCTTTTATTTGTTTTGAGTAGTTACAATCTACATTTTTTATAATTTTAACTTGTAATTCATTTTCAACAGTTTTATCATTATATGTTTTATTTAATTTAGCCATATTTTTCTCCTTCATTAATTTAAATAGTTATTAAAATTATAAACAAATATCAAGTGAAATTAAAAAAAAAACTTATATGTATGCAAAATGATTTTCTTTCTATTTATATCTTCTATAAGAATTCAGACAATGTAAAGAAGTGTACATATTATTTTTCCAACGTAAACAAGTGTACATATTATTTTTTCAATAATTTAAAATGTGAAGTGACATATCCAAAATCAACTTTCACACAAATTGCAAATGAACTTTCTTCGAATTACTTATGATACATTGAAATTATTTTGATTATTTTTTAAGGAATATTATACATACTTAGTATTTCTTCCATATTGATGAAAAAAAAAACACAATACAAATTAGTAAAAAAAAAATATTATATAATGATGATAATGATCATATTATTGGGTTTCACATAAAGAAGAGTTTGAGAATACAGGATGAACGAGAAAGATAACACACAAAAATACATTAGCAGTAGCTCATTTTATTAGGTAATATGTCTTGGTATTTATACTACATACCAAGTCAAACTAATATAACAGAAAAAGGAACAAAACTGTTAAACTCAGTTTTGAATCACATATACTAACACTCCTCCTTGATTAAAAAACATTCAAACATATTATTCAAAATACATTACATTTAACGTCATTCTCAAGTACTTAAATCTTTTAATCTTCAATGGCTTGGTCATGATGTTAGCCAGTTGATTTTTTATCCTACAGTATTGTAAATGAATTACCTCCTTGCTTACTTGATCTCTCAAAAAATGTTACTTTGTCTCTATGTATTTACTTATGCCATGAGACACTAGATTTTTGGTCAGGTCTATAGCAGACTTGTTGTCAACCATTAATACAACAGAATGTGTGAATCACGAACCTTCATCTCAGTGAGAAGAGAAAGCAGTCATGAGGCTTGACATGCTGCAGAGCAAGCTAATATATATTCAACTTCACAACTTGATAAGGCATTCAACGTAAACATGTGCCCTATAGTACTTTTCCTGTCAACTTGATCACCACTCCAATCAGAATCTGAGTATGCAACAAGCTTTATATCACCATTTTCACTCTTCAGTTTGTTAGTAAACAACAACTCATACTCCACAGTCCCTTTTAGGTACCTCAATATTTGTTTTATCGCAAGTATATGAGACTGCTTTGGTCTACTCATGAACCTGCTCACCAGACCAACACCAAATGCTATCTCAGGTCTGTGTTTGGCATATGAATCTCAAACAGCCTACAATTTGTCTGAATAAAGTTTCATTTACAACTTCTTCATTTTCATTTGCTGCCAAGTTTCAAGTTTGCCTTTGCAGGAGTTGTAGCAGAGTTACACTCCAGCATATTAAACCATTTAAGCACCTCTGTTATGTACCTTCTTTGGTGTATAATGATTCTTTTCTCAGTGTAAAGGAATCCCAACCCAAGGAAATATAACAGCAAACCTAAGTCAGTTATTTCAAATTCACGTTTCAACTTTTTCTTAACTGATTCTATGTCAACTTCGTTACTTCCTGTTATCACCAAATCATCAACATAGAGACAAATGATGAAGAGGACTATGTGGTCTTCACGTATACACCATGCTCCACAATGCATTTATGAAATTCAACACTACTAAGAAATGTGTCTATTCTTTTATTTCAAGCCCTTAGAACTTGTTTTAACCCATATAAAACTTTTCTCAATTTAAATACTTTTTATTCACTTCCCTTCACCTCAAATCCAGGGGGTTGTCTTACATAAATCTCCTCATCTAACCACCATTTAGGAAGGCAAACTTGACATCCAATTGCCACAGTTTCTACCCTTTAATATTGGTCATAACAACAACCAATCTTATTGTCTTCAACCGTGCCACAGGGGCAAAAACTTTAAAATAGTCTACTCCCTTCTTTTGCATGAATCCCTTGGCTTCTAGTCTAGCCTTGTGTCTAGATATTGACCCATCTGGTTTCATCTTTACCTTGAACACCCACTTAATAGATATTGGAGTTTTGTGTGATGGCAGATCTACCAATTCCCAAGTCAAATCTTTGTTAATACCCTCCAGCTCTTATTCCATTGCTTTTACCCAAACCTGATCACAAATAGCTTCATCAAAGCTAACAGGCTCTATATCAACCATAAGTGCCAATCCTTGAAGCAAATCTCCATCATTGGTAATTCCATCATCCGTGTAGATTTGATAGTCAATAAATCTAGCTGAAGTCTTTTTGTTTCTTACTATTATGTCGCTCATCTTCTGTGTTGCAGTACTTCCAATTTCCTTCTCCGTACTACCTTCTTCTAGCTGAAATGGAAGATTAGATGCAGTGGATTTTAGCAAATATGTAACAGGGTTGTATTCATCAAATATCACATCTTTACTAACATAAATTGTTTTAGTTCTGGGATTATAAAGTTTGTATGAACCAATAGAGTTGTAACCTATAAAGATCATAAGTTCACTCTTGTCATCAAGCTTCTTCCTTCATTGTGGTGGTATATGCTTGTAGCATTTTGAACCGAAGATCCTGAAATGCTTCACAGACGGCTTATTCCCACTCCACACTTCATCTGGTACTTTCAAAACAAGTACTTTTGTTAGACATCTATTCAAAGCATAGGTTGTTGTCACTGTTGCCTCTCCCCAAACTGATTTGTCAAGCTCTTTTGTCTCAACATACTTCTTATCATATTCACAATGGTTCTGTTTCTCCTCTCAGCAATCTCATTATGCTGAGGGGTGTAAGGGGCTATGATCTTATGGACAATTCCATGTTCGGTGAAGAACTTTACAAATTCACTAGATACAAATTCTTCTCCACCATCCGTGCGCAATACTTTCACTATTTTTCCAAATTGCTTCTTAGCCAACACCTTAAAGTCTCTAAAGAATATGAATGCTTCATTTTTGTGCTTCATCAAGAAAAGCCACAATCTCCTACTAAACTCATCCACAAATAGGATAAAATACATATTTCCACCCAAAGAAGTCACATCAAATGGTCCATAAACATCTGAATAGACAACATCTAACAAACCTTTAGCTTTTGACATCATGTGTGAACTAAAAATATTCTTGGACTGCTTACTGATCAAGCATTGATCACATATTTCATTTGGCACTGTTATTGTAGGCAGACCCATTACCATATCATGTTTCTTCAAGAGACTCATGTCTTTAAAGTTTAAATGGCCCAATCTTAAATGCCACAATCAAGACTCATCTACTGAGGCAGATAAACACTGTGATTCCAAGGTATTCAAACTTACCTTAAAGGTTTTGTTATCAATCAGTAGAACTTTAATTGCCAACTATTATGATGCATCAAATACTTTCAATGAGTTATTCACCATTTTCATAGAAAACCCTTTTTTCAAAAGTTGACCCATACTTATTAGATTACTCCTCTTCATTTCTAGGACATACAACACATATGTAATCATCACTTTCTTTCCATATTGTCTTGTTACCAAGATGTTCCCAATTCCTTCAGCCTGAATCACTTTGTTATCTGCAAATCGTATGGTGTTTTTCTTGCTACTATCAAATTTCATGAACCACTCACGGTGCCCTGTCATGTGGTTTGAACATCTGGAATCGATGTACTAACTATCGCAAGCAAGACCCCCTAAAACTGCAATCATCATCAATACCACATGTTGTTCGTCAAATTCATCTTATTCCTCTTTGACCATATATGCCTGATGATCACTATTTTTTTCCTCTGCTCTCCATCTTCCTTGGTTCTACTGTACATTTAGTGGAGAAATGTCCAATACAATTATAGTTGAAACATTTAATTCACTTCCTGTCAATCTTTCATTTGTCTCCTCTCCAATTTTCTGTCCTTTTCTGCTTCTTGGACGATTCTGCCACTTTATCATTATTTTTTTCCTGTTCTTGATTTTAACTAAACCTCCCGGAGCCATCTCTAAAATTTCTTCCTCTTCCAGGACCCCGATAACCCCCTTTTGACCAATTACTACTCTTCTTGGTTGTTTGGGCTTGCAACGCCTGAAAGTCGTTTGACTTGTCGGTTTCCTCTCGAGTAACCTCTATTCATGGACTTCTAAAACCCTACAATTCTTCTACCTTCAACTCATCAATCTTTTTGGACTCTTCAATTGCCAGGACAATATGATCGAACTTAGGGTTCAAGGTTCTTAAGATTTTCTCTATTATTGTCTAATATGATATCTTCTCACCACAATTCTTCATAGAGTTTGTGTATGTCACAATTCGATTAAAGAAATTGACAATTCTTTTGTTGCTCTCCATCTGCATCAGTTCATATTGACGTCTCATGGTTTGCAACCTAACATTTTTCAATTTCTCCGCTCCTTTGCTAAACTTCTCCAGTATTTGTCACGCCTTGTGTGAGGTTGCAGCTCCTGCAATCTTCTCAAAATGGGCTTCATCCACACATGGATGAATCAGAAAAGTGGCTTTAGAATCCTTCTTTTTGTTCTCCTCATAAAGACTCTTCTCAGCCTCTGTGGTCCTCTCTCCAAGCACGAACAGTCCTTCTTCAACTACTTTCGTGACTTCTTGGTATCCAAGAAATGCTTTCATTTGAACACGCCAACAATCCTAGTTGAAAGATAACACACACAAAATTACACTAATAGCAACTCATTTTATTAGGTGATGTGTCTTGGTATTTATATTGCATACCAAGTGAAATTAATATAACAAAAAAAGAAACAAAACTGTTAAACTCAATTTTGAATCACATATACTAACATATATTACTTAAAGATAATAAGAATGATCAAGGACAAGTTATTCCATAAACAAATATACAATTATAAAAAAAGAAAACACAATAGTGTATGTTGTAGACAAACATTTTCAATATAAAAATTATAAAATAATATCATGTAAACAAAACCAACCTCTCTCTCTCTCTCTCTCTCTCTCTCTCTCTCTCTCTATATATATATATATATATATATATATATATATATATATATATATATATATATACACACCTGAAGGATTATTGATGATGTTATATGCCTTATGTAGTTGAATAATTCACAATAAAAGGTTGAATAATTCATCCAAAAATGACTATGATTAAAGAGATAAATAAAACTTGTTTAGTTCTAATACTTTTACTCTTCTTTTGAAAGATCCTCCCTTGGATCATACCACCACTCTTCTTTTGAAAGACCATATCTTGGATCATATATCATCAAAACCTAAACACTTCCTATATAAATGGAACATAGGAAGCCTTACAACAAAAGTTGACTCTTAAAAATATAACTCAAGAATGGTTAATATAATTATATATAAATAAGTAAAGGCAAATATAACCCATAAGGA